TTGGGACTCGATCCCAGGACCCTGAGATCATGACCTGAGCCGAAGGCAGCGGCTTAACCCACTGAGCCACCCAGGCGCCTGGCATTTTTTTTTTAAGATTTTATTTATTTATTTGATGGAGAGAGAGAGCGATCACAAATGGGCAGAGAGTCAGGCAGAGAGAGGGGGAAGCAGGCTCCCTGCTGAGCAGAGAGCCCGATGCGGGGCTCGATCCCAGGACCCTGAGATCATGACCTGAGCCGAAGGCAGCGGCCTTAACACACTGAGCCACCCAGGCGCCCCTGGCATTTTTTTTTTTTTAAGATTTATTTATTTATTTGACAATCAGAGATCACATGTAGGCAGAGAGGCAGGCAGAGAGAGAGAGCCCGATGCGGGTCTCGATCCCAGGATCCTGGGATCATGACCCGAGCCGAAGGCAGAGGCTTTAACCCACTGAGCCACCCAGGCACCCCCCTATTGGCATTTTTTTAAGTAATAGAAAAAGAAAAAATTCTAATATTCACATGGAACTGCAAAGGATCCTGAATAGCCAGAACAATCTTGAGAAAGAAACACAAAGCTGGAGGTAGTACACTTTTTTATTTCAAAATGTATTACAAAGCTATAGTAGATTAAACAGTATGGTAGTGGCCTAAGGACAGTGGAACAGAATATAGTGCCCAGAAATAAACCCATGCATAAATGGCCAGCTGATCTGTAAATAAGGGTGCCAAGAATACACAATGGAGAAAGGATAGTCTTTTCAACAAATGATGTTGGGAAAGTTGGATAGTCATGTGCAAAAGAATGAAGTTGAACCCTTGCTATATACCATATACAAAAATCAACTCAAAATGGATTAAAGACTTAAATATAAGACCTAAAACTGTAAAACTCCTAGAGGAAAACTCGGGGGAAGATCTTTATGACATTGGGCTTGCCTATGATATCAAAAGCACAAACAACAAAAGAAAAGTTAAATAAGTGGGTCTACATCAGACTTAAACGTTTCTGAACAGCAAAGCAATTAATAGAGAAAAGATATATTATGGAATGAAAGAAAATATTTGCAAACCATATATCCAATAAGGGGTTAATATTAAAAATACATGAAAAACTATAACAACTCAGTAACAAAAACCCAATTTAAAAATAGCAAAGGACTTGAATAGATATTTTTCCAAAGAAGACATAGAGTTGACCAACAAGTATATGAAAAGATGCTCAACATCATTCATCATCAAGGAAATGCAAATAAAACCCACAGTGAGTCATTCACAATGATGAACGAATCACACCTGTTAGGGAAAGCTATTATTAAAAACCAAAGGACGAAAAATAACCACCAAAAGATACTGAATGTTGGCAGAGATGTAGAGAAATAATTAAAACTCTGTACTCTGTTGGTAGGAATTTAATACAGTGCAACTGCTATGGCAAACAGTATGGAATTTCCTCAAAAATTAAAAATGGAACTGCTATATGATCCAGCAATCCCACTTCTGGATATATGTGCAAAAGAATTCACAGCAAAATTTTGAAGAGACATTTACACATCCATGTTTATTAGAGCATTATTCACAATAGCCAAGATGTAGACACAGCCTAAATGTTTATCAATGGTAAATGAATAGAGAAAATATAATTGTGTGTGTGTGTGTGCAATAGAATATTATTCAGCCTTAAAGGAAATTTTGTCACATGTGACAACATGATAAATCGAGGATATTATGCTAAGTGAAATTAACCAGTCACAGAAGGACAAATATGTCATGATACCACTTCTATGAGGTAACTACAATAGTCAGACTCAGAGAAGCAGAAAGTAGAATGGTGGTTTCCAGGGACTAGAAGAGGGGGAAATGGAGAGTTGCAGTTTAACGGGTATAAAGCTTCAGTTATGCAAGATGACTAAATTCTAGAGATCTTCTGTACCACATTGTGTCTAGAGTTAACGATATTATACACTTAAATGTGTTTTGAGGGGGTAGATCTCATGTTAAATGTTCTTACCATATTTAAAACAAGAGACTGGCTATAAGGGCTCCGTAGGCTGTTTGTTTAGGTAGTTTTTTTATTTTTGTTTAGGATTTTGGTTGCTAGTTTACCATGATGGTAAGCATTCTGCATGACCATCCTTGTCTCTTGTGTGGTTTGTCTTATAGTTAGGGCTATCTATGCCAATATACCAAGAGATTCTGACTGTGTTAATGTTTGAGAGGCATGCACAAGGCCTAAATCTGACAACGTCTTCCTCATTGCTTTGAAGCTCCCGAAGTTAATCATCCCTTTGAGCTAAAGATACGACCCTTATTCGGGTCAAGTCGTTTCCAGATAGTCATTGATATATTGATACCTAGCATGATTTAAATAATCTCATCAGCTAACTGAGAGCAAGTGCATTTTAATAAATTTTGGAAGATTAGAGTTGGATTTGCAAGAGAGGTAATATAGCAACACTAAGATTTGGAGTGAAGAAGAAAGGGAGGGGGGGTCAAGTTTTCAGTCAAATTTTCAGAAATACTAACATCTAGTGTTCCATCTGTGCTTGGGGCAGTCCTTTCTGTGCTCACAATTTAGCATGATTGACAGCTCTTAAAGAGAAAAGGCCACAGTCATGACCCAAAACTCTTATTTCCTTTTTTTTTCTTTTCCCTCATCTTTTCCTTTCTTTTTCTGAAACCGCTAGCTAGCTATGATATGTAAATACTGCACCTGTCACAGTGACCTCATTTCCGTACCATCTTCTAAGCACTTGGTGACTGATGCTAATTACTCTGATGAATGTAGCCAGTGGGAAACTGAATATCCCAGTGTAAAAGAGGAGACCAAATGCTCTGGTCTGTAAAGTGAGAGTACCAGGCCAACAGATCAATACGATTGCTTTGATTAAAGTTCCCTATTTGTTAAGCATGTATATGTATGTAAATACTTTCACTTTTTCCTCTGATCTCTGAGGAAGTGCTTTAAGTTTGAATTTGTCACAACTTCCCAGGGGTGACTCTCAGTTGAAATGTCACTGACAGCTTGTGGTTTGGACTTTTTTTTTTTTTTTTAACTCCAGGCAGAATCAAAGAGAAGCGCTTGAACAAGTGCAAGGAGATGCTGTCAAGCAGGAAGCTGTTGTTAGGAAGAAAGTCCAGGGAACCAGCCAATGGCCAGATGACAGAGCGGAGCAGGTAGGGTAGCCTGTGACTACTTTATATTCAAGGGGAAGTTTCCTCAGATGTTCTTGAAACCACGAAGTAAAAAATGGAGGAGGAACAGAAAAAAAAAAAACCAAAACCCGAAGAGGAACTGTGAAGTTCAGTCCCCGGCGACCAGCAGTGAGCGGAGGAAGTACAGGGGGAGTTGTAAAAGAGGCGGTGTCAACAGTCTGCTGAGGAAAGAGGCATCTTTGCAGAAAGAGGCAACTTGACATATCAGGACTTTTACCGCTGTAGAGATAGCTCCGGTATACAAAGCCCATGCAAACACAGAATTGCAGAAGTTCAGTAGAGGCTTATCACTTCCCTGAGAAGAAAAGCACATTTTCAGTTTCGTGTGCATACTACCAGGGGACGCTCAATTGCTTTCTTTCCCCGCCACCCTGCTAAAATCCAGTATTAACCGTATGTGTCCAGGTTGAGGATCGAGATCCGGCAGCCCACTCAGCCGGTGACAAAGCGAAGTCTTTGCTGCATGAATTAGAGGAAGCAATTTTGGAACAACGGAATCTCCAGGCTATAAATACCGAGTTGGTGAGCACTTGCCAGACACTTGAGCAGAAGACGAGAAAACTGAAAAGTGAGTAGCAAATATGTGTTATGTCCCAATTCAGTCCACTCGGAGGTGGGGCAAAAAGACTACAGCCATTTTTGTAGATGACAGCTGCTGTGTTAATACCCACATTTATGACAATAAAATGGTTCCAGAAAGCAGTATCGTGGGCTTCCAGAAAGGCTTGCCTAGTGTCCAAGTAGGCTGCTTTAATGGCTAACTTTCCCTTTCAGTTTTTTTTTTTTTTTTATTATGAGCTGGATTTGTCTATGACTGTTACTTCTTTAAAAACTAAAGTTCTCAATATCTGTAAAAGTAAACAAGGAAGGAAAAAATCTTACATGCGTGGGATATTTGAACTCACAAATGGCTTACCTATCCTACCCCGATTTTATTAGCTAGCTTGTACCCATTGTATGGTAGAAAAGGACCTGCCCCTCTATTTTCTTTTACATAGTAATTTTAGGGGTGGGCAAAATACTTACAAATTCAGTGTATCAAAATATTAAATATGTGAAAGCCCTTTTTAAATTTTAATGTGCTCTTTACATATATATTTTGCTTTAAAAATTGGAATATTGGTCATTTTTCTGTATTACCTGAAAGTAAGTGTTTACTAAGGATTTAGGTGAAAAGACAATTGTCAAATGACAGATGTCAGATTACTCAGTAGTGAGTTTTATTCTGGAAACATAATTGGGTCAAAATAAAGCTTGCTTATTTGACCATTTATCAGGTAATTGCTTTTATTCGGCCAGCTTCTTGTTCTAGCTATCCTAGATGATCTTTTTAGACGAAATTATTAATTTGGGTAACAAACAAATGAATTATCAGCTTAAGCTAAGCTAGAGAAGGAGATTTTCAGACCCGGGTTTGTTTTGGATTTATTGTACTGTTCGTACTGCTATCTGAGAATGCTGTTCAAAAGTTTAAATGACTTGGCTAGTTCTAACATAATAGTAATTATTCAATAATTTTAAGTACCAGTTTACTCTGTCAGTGTAAGGCTTTAAATTACATAATCTATACATTATTTTATGATTGCTCAGAGGGCACTGGAGAAGATTCCCTTGTGATCAGAAGTGCTCTTGTTGAGACACAAATAATAAGGCATTCCAGATTTGGTTTATGGTATGTTTGCTTTAGACACTGTTTTTAGAGGACTAATTTTTTGGGTTCAGTTGTATTTATCTTTAAGTCAACATTATACCCCATAGTTTATAAAACTAAGAATTTATCTCCTCCTACTACTCCCCCCACCCTAACCTCGCCTTTGATTTCCTTTCAATACCTTCTTGGAAGAGTCAACTTTTGTAACTTATCCCAAAATATACATTCTTGATATAATGAAGTTGCTATTGTCTTCCCACTTCATTGGTCCAAATACTACTGAAAGCTATCCTGGGTTGTATGCATATGTTTTTTTTTTTTTTTTCCTGGCTGGATAAAGTAGAGTGGATGCCTCCTTTCTGTCTTGAGTTGCTCACAACCTGCCTGGGTTTTTTTGTTTGTTTGTTTGTTTTTGTTTTGTTTTGTTTTTTTTCTTGTTTGTATCTTTTGCTGCCCATAGAAGGCATACACATCAGGATTTTGTTCTGAAGACCATTTGCTTATGAGGATTTTTCTAACAATGCCCTTAAAAATCAACCTTTGCAACAAGGGAAATTTAGGTGGCACATATTTTTTAAATGTTCTGCGGAGCAGATTTTCCAGATAGACTGTGAATAAATGTCAGTGAGGTAGGACAGTTATCACATAAACACATCCTGGCACATTCCACCATTACCACTGTCACCACATGCTGTTTGAATTCTGAGTCAGACGTTTGAATTCTGAGTCAGAAAATAAAAATATTTAAATCCACTTAGTTCTTCTGAAACTTTCTGGTTAGCTTACTACATTTATTAAGTGTTTAAGGCAATGGCTTTTTGTCGCATCTAAGAATGGTTCCTTAGCAAATTGGGTGGGGATTCAGTGATTGTGTCCAAATGTTCAGGTCAATGACAGGGTTCATGAACTGGAACTAGGAAGTTGTTCATGACATTTGAATAGAAATCCTGAACCTAATATTGAAAAAGTAATGTCTAAGTTTTCAGGGGCTTCCAGGATTGGACTGATGTATGAGCTTATAAGTGAACACACCAGCCTCCGTGACATGTGCCCTTAGAACTGCTGGGTTTCTTGAATGGTTACCTATATATTTTCTTTCTTCTGCTCCTTACCTATGTATATATCTAAGTATCTTGTTAACAAAGGCAATCCTAGGTATATAAATGGATGTTTGTTTTGAAAAGGAAACCAAAAGTCTTCTTAGATCTAGGGCATTTACCTAACATATTAGAGTGGATCTAATGAAACATCGACTACTTAATCTAGTATAGACTATCACCTCTTTATAGTTCATCCTCTTTTTACCCCGTCCGACATGAAATCTTCATTGAGTCCCTGATTTAATAAGCAAGGAGGGAACTGATTACCTTTAGAAACTATAAATATTTCCTTGGCAGGAGAGCCTGAGCAGCTCCTGTATATCATAACTCCTTATCTGAACCTAGTATCTGTATCAGCTTTAGAGAAGGCTTTCACCTAGATGATCTCTCTGGGAGCTGTCTTCTAACTTGCTGTCTTTAGCATGGAGCGGTTGGGGTGTGGAACAGATAAGAGCCTCAGGGCTTTGAAGATGGCCATGTGTCTTGAGCAGTCAGTACACAAGAGGGACATGAGACAAGAAAGGGGGGTTGAGGTGATTGAGGCACTTAAAGATAGGAACAACCCCAAATCATCTCTTGCACAGCAACTCTGATGGGATGGGGGCCTAAATTTTCCCAAATGTAGGAGGCAGAAATGGATGACATAATCTAGGAGGCAGTATAGCCTAATGATTAAGAGCGTGGTATTTGAACCTAAAGGAACCGATGTTCTGATTCTAAGACAAAAGCGAAACTGGATAAAGTTAGGCAAATCTCTTTACCTCTTTGAGTGTCAGTATCCGCTTCCAGAAAACGCAGTAGTTAATTTATAAATAACAAATGTGAAACAATAGCTAGTGCTCGGGAGAGTCTGTTTGGCTAGAGCACGTTTCTGCCGCGTCTGTTCTCATTCGCCTTTAGCCAATGGGTAATGACCTGATTGCAATATGGAAGTTGTATCATTTCATTCACGATTTTCCTAGGAATAGGGTCTGGCTTGGTGGGAGAACTAGAACCTTCAGCACGGAAGGAGAGAGTGTTCGGTTTGGCTACTGACAAGCAGGAGGAGCCCTTTTAGCTTTATTTTAAAATTACAAACGAGTGTCTCCACCAGGGCGTCCTCCCCCAGAGAAGAGCCACCCAGCCTTGCGGAGCTCTAGCTGGTGGCAGACGGTACTCCCCGCTGCGTTCACTTTAGCAATCCCACTCCCTGAGTTCCACGTCCATCTGCATTTCCTTAGCATCCCACCAGCGCTGTGCCATTTAAATGTCACCAGAATCTCCACGCTTTTGTTATTGTGCATTTCTGTTACCCTGTGAAGCCGCCTTTGGTCATTTTAAGAGGCATGTCTCCGTGATCCAAGTTCTCTTCTGAGGCACTAATAATTTATAATTTTGTTTGTTAGTGCTCTGGTTACATGTTGCACATACATTTTTGATGGTCTCTTCCTCACCTGAGTTCATCTCATAAACTCTGTTTTCTTTTTTTTGTTCTTGTAATTTTTTAAAAAACAAGTTCTTTTAAAAAAATTGATGCAGGGGCGCCTGGGTGGCTCAGTGGGTTAAAGCCTCTGCCTTCGGCTCAGGTCATGATCTCAGGGTCCTGGGATCGAGCCCCACATCGGGCTCTCTGCTCAGCAGGGAGCCTGCTTCCCTCTCTCTCTGCCTGCCTCTCTGCCTATTTGTGATCTCTCTCTCTGTGTCAAATAAATTAAAAAAAAAATTGATGCATAATTAACATCATGAAATGTTCAGATCTTAAGTGTATTCTTTTAAGATTTTATTTATTTATTAGAGAAAGCAAAAGCAGGGGGAGCGGGAGAGGGAGAAGCAGGCTCCCCACTGAGTAGGGATCTTGACACAGGGCTTTTTCTGGGACCCTGGGATCATGACCTGGGCTGAAGGCAGAGGCCTAACCGACTGAGCCACCCAGGCACCACCTGAAGTATATTGTTTACAAATGTCCATTGAAACACAGAACTGTAACCCCACAAAGTTCCCTTGTGTTACTTTCCAGTCACTGCCATTCCCCCACCTCCACCACTATAAGGATCTACCTCTGATCTGATTTTTATCACCGATGGGTTAGTTTAGCTTCTAGAATTGAGATATAAAATATGTACTTCTGTGTTTTTGTCTTCTTTCCCTCATAATATTTATCTTAATATTTTGTATTTATTAGTGGCATGCCTTTTTCATGATAGAGTCATATTTCTTTGTATGAATGGTTCCATAGTTTGGTTATCTTTTCTCCTATTATTGGACATCTAAATTATTTGCAATTTGGGGTTGTTATGGAGCAAGCTGTTATGAACGTCTGCATATGGGTCTTTGTGTGGACATATGTTGTTCCCTAACCTGGGATAAAGATCTACGAGCAGAGTTTTTAGGGCATAGTGCAGCTTTAACTAAGAAACTGCCAGTTTTCCATAGGGTCAGTAACATTTCACACTCCCACCAGCAGTGTGTGGGAGTTCCGGTTTCTCTACAGCATCAGTGCTTGGTGGTGTCAGTCTTTTCCATTTTTGTCACTCTTCTGGGTATCTTCCTGTGATTTTCATTTGTTGTGCCGACTGACTATTGTAAATCTTCTTTGTGAAGTCGTTAAGTCCTTTTTTTTTTTTTTTTAAAGATTTTATTTATTTATGACAGAAATAGCAAGAGAGAGAACACAAGCACAGGGGGGCTGGAGAGGAAGTAGGAGGATCCACGCTAAACAGAGAGCCCGATAGGGGACTTGATCCCAGGACACTGGGATCATGACTTGAGCCGAAGGCAGATGCTTAACAGCGGAGCCATCCAGGCTCGCCTGAAATATCTAAATCTTTTGCCCATTTTCAAATTGGGACATTTGTCCTTCTGTCTTTGGTTGTACAATTTCTTTACATATTTTGGATACAAGTCCTTTGACAGATATATGTATTGTGAATTATTTTCTCCTGGTCTCTGATTTTCAGTGAAACTTAATTTTTTTTGAATACACAGTTTTATAGAACATAACACATCCATTGTGTTATAAAAGTTCACGTTCCATAAATGTCAGCCATCATTGATAGCATTATTATTGCACTGATACTAAAGTTTTAATTATCAACAGCCAATTAATTGTAGGGCCTTTGCCTGACAGTCTCATTGCATAGTCATTTGGACAGTTGTTTTATCTCCGCTTCCTTCGAAGACAGTGTATCCAAGACACCCGGTCCCATCCTATGTCGCAGATGGCAACAGCGGGGGATGTAGTGGCCATTGTTTCATTTGTTTCCATGTAAAATCTAAATGTCTTAGAGACATGGCAGGTCCAACTCCAAACACATAAAAAAGAATGCAAAGGTGAATGCAAATTAGGCTCATAAGGCAATGTATTTTGCCTCATGGAACGTATGGAAATAGTTGCTACACATTGCACAAAACATCTGTTGAAACAAGGTTTATATTTTAATGTTTTGATATGGACTGGTACTAAAACCCAAGATTGCCTGGTGGGAAAGCAGATGGGCAATTTAGATAGTCTTATACTAATTCATTATTTCTTCTGAAATACAAGCCTATTTGGAAATCCACAGAGAGTGTCTTGGAGATACACAACCTTCACAAACATAATGTTAGTCACTTCTGAGAGGTTTGGTTGCTGTTGCTTAGTTGCTGTTGCTTAGGTCGGGAGAAGGATTTATTTAATACAGTTAAAAGAGAATTTTCTAAAACTGATTCTTTTACTAGAGTTTTAAGTATTAAAAATTAATTACTTAAATATGTTAGAAATTTTTAAATAAGTATTTTCCTCCTAGTGGGCTTAGTAACACTAAGTGAAGCTTAGTTGTGAAATAAGTTATTTTTACAAAAAAAATTCTTACAAAATAGAATTTCACATGGTAATTTTCAATATAATTGAAGCTTTTTAAGCCTTTTTTCTTAGAAAAAAATTTTGTTAGATTATGTACTTTTTCACATATATTAGTATTATTTTAATGGCTCAGAATTTTTCAGTCTATTGAGATAGAAAACTGTATGTTTTGGACACCAGAGTATTTGCTGTTAATTTTCCTTGCTGTTAGTGTTAAAAAAAAAAAAAATGGTAGCTATTAATATGTCTCCATCTAGCAGAGCTTCCTACCCTCATGTAATTTTTGTTTTTAATCATCTGTGGGTTGAGAAGGCAGTCAGAGCTTGTCAGAATCATGTATTAATTCAGAGCCTACTGTACGAGTGGAAGTGTGAGGAATTGCCACAGGAATAAAGGCCATGAATATCAACATCTATTTTGGTGCACAAGATTTGGGCCTATTTTCTGGTTCTTGTCTATATTTTAAAGAGTGTAGATTGTCAGGTAAGTGATATGTACCTGTGTAACTCAAAAAGTTAAAAAGGTTTTTTTTTCCCCTCATTTCTGTTACTCCAGAGATGAAAAATTGGAAGTTACTGGGAGGCAGATTTCAGTGAAGTAGAAAGACAAACATTTTTAATTTCATGAAAAAGTACACTGAATTGAGCCTCATCTTGTGAGTCTGATCCCAGCATGACTAACCAGTTATCATTGAAATCCACTGGACAACAGTGTTCTTGTCATCTCAGACCTACCCGTAGGCTTCTGGGATCACAGGGCTCTGATTCTAGGAGTTGCCATCCCTCACTCACAGCTCATGCAGAGGCTTCTGGGAGAGAGGATTTCTACATTCTAGGCAGTTGGACTGAATGACCTCTGAGGTGTATTACTGTGTTAAGGTGGAATCGTTCTGACTTCTAGAGGACATCTCTCACATCTGTGGAGGGGAATTTGGAATGCCCAGCGGGGATCATGGGTTAGCTGCTCTAGCCTTTGTTCTGCTCTTCCATTCCCACCAGACATGAGTTGAGAACGTCATTCTCAGAAGTCACTGCTTTCTCTCTCCCTTCCTCAGACCCCAAATTTAAAGCTCTTAAAAGTTTATGAGAGGAACTGAGGGAAAATGGGGTTACAAATTATCCTATTAAGCTGGTTATGAATTCTTTTTCTAGCAACAACTGAGTCACTGAGAAAGAAGTTAATTAAAGGACGCCTCCATGGCTTGTTATTTCAGGTAAAAAAAAAAAATCTTGTGATATGTATTTACTATGGGGAAGAGGTCCAATTTGTGTAAAGTTTTGAAGCTAATTTATAATAGATAATCATTTTAATCATAAAATTAAATAACCAACTTGGAAGAAAATGCTCTGGTGGACTTTGTTCTCTTCTGCACTGTGAAAGCATTTAACAAAACAAGAGTGGGGGTCTCATTAGTGAATAGCTCCTAATAACATCTTTCAAAGAGAAAGCGTTTCATAGCAAAGGGCCAGTGTTTTAGTCTTAGGCACATCCTTTTTGATACTCTTGAATATGTACTGTTAGATGGGCTGGGATGGTTCCTGCATCTTTTTTCTCCTATTTATTTTTTTGGTGTGTGTGTGTGTGTGTGTGTGTGTGTGTGTGTTTAAGAAGATTTTACTTATTTGAGAGAGAGAGCACACAAGCAGGGGGAGTGGGAGAGGGAGAGGGAGAGGGAGAGGGATAAGCAGGCTCCATGCTGAGCAAGGAGCTTGGCTCAGGGTTTGACCCTGGGATCATGACCTGAGCCAAAGGTAGACACTTAACCAACTGAGCCACCCAGGCACCCTTGTATTTGAATTAAACTTTTAACTCCTTCCTGTCTGGATATCTCAATATATCCATGGTAGAGTTCAGTGTATTTCTTTCACTTATGCTACTTGGTGAATTTCTCCTTTTTGTTCATAAATGAGGAACATAAGGAACAGTAAGGTTGGCACTGGGGGCGGGGACTGGAGAAGGGATGAAAGAAGGGTGGTGTCTGCATGTATCTGTTCCCAAGGCATAATGCAGGCACATCTGTTTAAGTAGGAAAAAAAAATTATGCATGTGGGAGATTAGGCCAGGCAGAGTGCCTAAAAAGCCCCCTACAGTAAATTGAAGTGGAAAAAACCTCCACCTCTAAATATGCTTTAATCTTACCAGGAACACCGATACAATTTTCTATAATGTAATAGTGATAGGCATGTTTCTACCTCTTGGACTAAGACCACAATTTGATTGCTATGAGATTCTCAGAGGCACCATTTTCACTACACTGACCTGTCTCCAGACAACCTTCTTTGGCCTCTGCCTGAAGATTTCAGTGACAAACCCGTTGCATGTCCTGTCCCCAAACTTTGACTTTCATTCCTAGAACAAGGGGCAAAATGCAATAAAGCCTTTACCATTACAAGCCTGTTCCCTTAAACCCTTGACAGAACCGGCCAATACCACCCTCCTCAGGTAGCATCATATCTTCTCTTAAGTCTAATATGCTTTGTATCCTTGACGCTGTCGTCATTCTGCCTTTGAATATGCTCCACCATTTTCTCATGACAGAGCTGTTTAGATGAGGAATTTCCTCGTTGTGATCCCTTGTCCTGCACAGATGGAATTCAACAACCATTTCAAGAAAAACTGGTAAGTTTAAGCTTTTTGAAACAAGTTAAGTGCCAGTTGTGAATCACTACTATGTCAAAAAGGAAAGCGAAGCCCAGTGTGTATTACTAGTCTTAGAACTCGAAGCCAGACCACTTTTGGGAGATTATGAGATGAAACAATTAATACCTACTCTTTTTTTTTTTTTTTACTTTTTTTTCTTTTGAGAGAGAGAGAACACAAGCAGGTGATGGGGGACAGAGTGAGAGAGTCCTAAGCAGTCTCCAAGCCCAACACAGGGCTTGATTTCATGACCCTGAGACCATGACCTGAGCTGAAATCAAGAGTTGGACACTTAACCCACTTAACCAACTGAGCCCCCCAGATGTCCCTTCTTATTCTTCTTCCTTGTCACACACATACACAAAATGCCAGTAGATACTACGATACAGTGATACATTAAATTATTTGATTGTGGTATCATGAAGAAGTATTGTATAACTAAGCTTACCCATCACCCATACCTTTATCCTCAAGGCTTTTGCTTATATGACAGTATCAATTATTGGGAATTAATACAATTCTGTTAAATTATCGAACTGTAATTTTTAATGAGAATTATACGTTACCCATAGGGTATAGCTTTCGATCAAAAGGTTGAAAGCTTTATTACTTGGGATCATTTATTTTCTTCTTGACCTCTCTCAGAGGGTTATTTAGACCAGTGATATTCTTTCTACCTTTGGAGATGAAGATAATAGATAATGAAATATGTTATACCCTTTAGATAGCTAATACTATTTAATTTTCTGTTCAGAAGCGGTGTTGCCATAAACGATATAGTGGTCAAGAAGCAAGACTACATCGGACACTCCTGACCTTCATACATACGAGCTGGTATACACCTCCACTAGGTAAGCATGGATAGCCGTCCCCCTTACACCCACCCTATCAGACATGGCTGAGGGTGAGGTTCTTTTTGAAATGGAAAGTCATTAATCACAATTATATTTGTACAGGAAAAGTTGTTGAATTCTCAAATATTTATCCTTGAATTCTCTCAGTCAACTTCTGTTGGAGCACCTACTCTGTGCAAGGCCCCATATTTCTGTATAATAAAGAATAAATCCTAAAATAGCTCACAGATTATCAGGGAGGTTAGAATGGGCCCAGAGAAGTCAAAGAAGGCTTCATAGAAGAAATGAGAGTTGAAGCAGGCCTTAAAAGATGGGTTGCATTTGGAATTGCAAAAAGGATGGAAAAAGAGTTTTAGCTGGGGAGGACAAAATGAAACAGAAGAATGCAAAAGTCTCAAGTGTTTGAAGAAGAATCGAAGCTGGACAAGTCTTTTTTAGAATGAGTTTGGTTGTGATGGAGTAGAATGTAAGTTTGGAGCAGGTTGTGGGTCATATTGTGAACTATGACTCAGTGTCAGGTCAAGGAGAATGAATTTCATCTTAGGAAATGCTCATGGTAGTGACATCTCTCATCACAACTGAGATGTGGCTGAAAGCAAAAGTTAATGGCTGGTTCTGAAATGACCAAAAGACATGGGATGGTTTTCAAAATAAAGTTAAGAAGAAATAAAGAGCAAGTAGACTGATCTGTGGATCATTTCAACTAGAGAAGGGAAAACTACTACCACGACTAGTGGAACGGCCACTTTGCATCAATCAATAGCATACGACTTTACAGAGATATTTTACTCACACTAACCCAGGAATAATAACACAACCACAATCTGGCAGTGCCTGCAGATGCCTGTTCTCTGCTCTTAATGTCACTATTACCTCATTTAATCCTCACCACATCCCTGCCAGAAGATGCTAATGTAAGATAAGAAGGATAAGGAAACAGGAATATTGACTTAGTAATTTGCCTAAGGTCACGTGTTACTTCACAAGCAAGTAAGCTGAGGCTCGGAGTGGTTGAGGTGCGTATCCAAGAGCACACAACTAGTATGTGGCAGAACAAGGATTTGAACAAAAACTTACTGATGGACTCACAAGCCTCTGTTTTTTTCCTATTACTCTTTCCTATACTTGGAAAAAAACACCTAAGATGGTTTCCTCCAAAACACGTGGTCTGGGGGCACCTGGGTGGCTCAGTGGGTTAAAGCCTCTGCCTTCAGCTCAGGTCATGATCCTAGGATCCTGGGATCGAGCCCCGCATCAGGCTCTCTGCTCCGTGGGGAGCCTGCTTCCCGTCCTCTCTCTCTGCCTGCCTCTCTGCCTACTTGTGATCTCTGTCAAGTAAATAAATAAAATCTTAAAAAAAACAAAACAAAACAAAAACAAAAAAACACGTGGTCTGTTACCCTATTTCCTTTGTTTCTAACGGGTCCCCATCACCATGTCTGACCATTTTGTCTTCAGGAGTTGGTAAAGCTGTTTCTGTCAGGGGCAGACAGTAAATCCTCCAGGCTCTGGCGGCTGTGTGATTTTTGCAGCAACTACTTGGTATCACACATGCAGCCATGGAATGAATGAATGGGTGTGTCTGTGTTACAGGAGAACTTTATTTACAAAAACAGGCAGCTGGCTGTATTTTACCCTCTGGCTGCAGATTGTTGACCCCTCTAGCTGCTTTTAGGCAAGTATTTTCTGCCCTTTCCCCACTCTGCTTAAAAAAAAAAAAAATGGCATTTTCACTTCATGTAACTAAGCATCAAGGAGGGGGAGGGTTAATAGAATTGAGTTGACTTCTGCTTTATATATACGTACATACATATATACATACCCATATATATACACACACATATAATTATATATATATGTATAATTTATATATTACATTTATTAAAACATATATTTATTATATATAAAAATAAATATAAATATATGTGTATTTATTATCTAGTTTAAACCAGAAATAAATTTTTGGTTTTATTCTTGGCTGTTCTGCAGATGTCTTGCATGTAGAGATTCTCACAGCAATTCCAAGAGTGGAATTGACACTTCTCTCAGGTGTAGCCCAAAGAATCCAGGTTTCAAGTGAAAGGCCCAACTATGGAGAATTAGAGGATGGAGCTTTGGATGTGACTAGAAGACGCAAGTAAGTTAAACGAGCAGAATATACTTACCCTGTTCTTCACAGGTGGCCTTTATTTTATTGCCTAGACTTTTTTAAAATTATTATTTTTATTAACATATCATGTATTACTTGCCCCAGGGGTATTGCCTAGACATTTAGTCAGTTAGACTTTTGTATCCTGAGACCATCATGTCTTTATTACGGAGTTCTTACAATGGAACTTCTGACTTTCTGAAAATTGGCAATTTTAAAACAAAGATACCTCTATAGTTTTCTTGAAGTGACTTTTCTTGTTCTTTGATTCCCCTAATGTCCATTCTAAAATGTAAAAGACAAATTAGGCTAGCTGAATGTTTCCCAGTTTTTAGGAATCTACTATTTACTGCTAAGTTAACTTGGGTCGGTTTTGAGCATATTCCTTCTTCCACAAGGATAATGAGCCTCTGCAAATCCCTGCGCCACACCCACCCTCTACCCAAGTTACTCTGTGCTCACCTTTCTGAGTACGCAGACCGAACTTCCTTAGGAAACGTTTCAGAATGTAAGTGGAGTTTGTGCGCACTGTCCACTCCCATGAAATTTCCTTTCTGTATCAAGGGTAAGGAAGCAAGACTTTGAATTGCAAATTCTTTATTTTCATTTTTGGCCAGCTTCTCTATGGTTTGCGACCCCTCTCCGGTGGAGGTTGGTGCTCTCTTTCCTTGTATCTTACTAAAACCATGAGCTTAATTAGAAATTTGGTTAAGTTGGGACAGGGAAGGGAAGCATTTGATATCTGCCAAAATTCTTGGTCTTTCTCTCTGTAGTAAGGAAATTTGCTTTCTATTGTCAGGTGCCCAGTCCCTAAAGTTGGCCCCTACCTAGGATCAGATCTTTCCGGTTGCATCAGGATGAATGATGACCTAAGGATGGAAGTGAGCATTTGACTATATTTCTACTTTATTTTTAGTACTACTGTTATCCTGGTCATCTTCTATGGGGGGATGTGTGTGTGTGTGTATTTGAAGTATTATGGGCACTCTTACAGCAAGTATGAATCTTACACCACAAAACACAGATGCCTGAGAAATGCCAACATTTGATGGGAAGAAATTAAAATTCAGCCATTTGGGGGCTTTCTGTCCCTTCTGTAGTATAAACTCAAGGAAGCCAAAAGGAGATTTTTGGTGAAGTACACTGAAGATTTTGTTAAAGAGGCAGGTTGGTTTGGGACTTAAAATTCACTCATGACTCTAAGATGTCTTAGGTCTTATTGTCTCTCTAAGAATTGAAGCCAAGCCTAGGTAATATTTGATGCTTTTACTTTGTAAAAAGTCACAAAGTAGGACAATGCCCATAGAGTATTCATTGCTGCAGTCAGGTGCTAATCGTACTTCTCCACCTAAATTTAAAAAAAAGAGTAACACTGAATAACATATCATTTAGGCAAACTCTCCAGGTTATGAAGGTATGTGTGGAGTGCTTCCCTCAGTCTACAGCCTGAGCCTGGCCATAATTTTCTCAATCAAATGGAGCCCACAGTTCTGTTTCAGGATATAATAACCCGTCATTCTTCCTTTTTCTTTCATTGCTTAATTGAGCTATAATTCACATATTAAACAATTGGATTAAATGTTTTTAAATAAATTCACAGAATTACACAGTCATCACCAAAATTAGAACATTTTGATCATCCTAAAAAGAAGCCTCATGCTCATTGACAGTCTATCCCCATTCCCCCCATCCCAACCTCAGTCTGAGACAATCACTAATCTACTTTCTATCTCTTACACATTTGCCTAGTCTGGATATCTCCTATAAATGGAATAATATAATATGTAACCTCTTGTGACAGGCTTCATTCACTTGGTATAGTGTTTTTAAGGTTCCCCCATGTTGTAGCATGTATCAGTACTTCATTCCTTTTTATGACTGAATAGTATTCCAGTGTATGGATATACCACATTTTGTTGTATCCACCCATCACTTGATGGGCACTTGGGTTGTTAACATTTTTGGGCTACATGAATGATGTTACTATGAATGTTAGTGTATAAGATTTTGTGTACACATATTGGTATTCATTTGGGTATATACCTAGGAGTAGAATTCCTACATCATATGGTAACTCTACCATTTTGAGCACCTGTGAAACAAATTTCCAAAGTGTTTACCCCATTTTACATTCCCACAAGCAATGTATGAGTATTCCAGTTTCTCTAAATCCTTGTCAACATTTGTCTGTTTTTGTTTTGTTTTGTTTTTTAGGATTTTATTTATTTGACAGAGATCACAAGTAGGCAGAGAGGCAGAGAGAGAGAGGAGGAAGCAGGTTCCCTGCTGAACAGAGAGCCTGATGCAGGGCTCGATCCCAAGACCCTGAGATGATGACCTGAGCCGAAGGCAGAGGCTTTAACCCATTGAGGCATCCAGGCACCCCTGTTTTTGTTTTTGTTTTTAAATTATAGCCATCTTAACAGGTGTGAAGTAGTTTTGATGGTTTGGGTATGTTTTTCCCTAATGACAAATGATGTTGAACATCTTTTTGTGTTCTTGTCAGCCACGTGTACATCTTTGGAGCTATGTCTACCCAGATCTTTACCCATTTTAAAAAATGGGGTCCTTTTTACTACTGAGTTATGTGAATTATTTTTATTATTTCTCTCAAGTGTGTGTATCTGACATTTTTCTGTTCCTTAATACCCATCCAATTGAGTAGCTAAGAAAAGGAAAGAAAAAGGAAATGAATCTATTTTGCTATTACTTAGCAGGTCTTATAAAGTTTAATAAAGGAAGTTGGATTAGGAAGCTTACAGGATGTTTGGTTATTAGTAATTCCCCTTTTATCTGGTACTGATTTCACCAACAAGGGGGAAGAAACAGGTATCAGTTGTGTACCTGGCACTTTGTAGGAAAGCATGTCCACATGCCATGTTATTAATCTTCTCCACAACTTTGGTAGGTATTCTCTGCTTTTATAGATGAGACAACTAAAGTTCAGAGAGGTTAAATAACTTATCCAAGATCATTCAACTGGTAACTAGCAAACATGGGATTCAAATTCAGGTTTGTCTCACTTCAAAGGATAAAACTTTCTCACAGCCCCTCTTAGAACAATGAATTTAGACCTTTCGATCATAATAATTACTCATAATTACCTTGGAAGTAGTTTTTTTGGCTAAGAAATGTGCTATCTAAAAGGATCTCCTAATCCACTCTCATTAGGATATATGACAGGTTTTGTCTGTGGCCTTGACACTATTAAGAAACAGGAGCTAACAGACCATAATAGAAACTCCTGTCAACCTTCCCTGGGGAAATGTATGCACTCTCTGAGGTTTTCATGCTGTCTTCTGTGTCATTCTTCAAGAGTCTCCAGGAACTAGTCCGTTGGCTGTACTTGGTGGCTGAAAGCACCACTTCTCACCATTCCCTTCCCAGGTGTCTGCTCTGCAGCCCGGCCACTGCATGAGTCCCTCTTTCATGCCTGTCCCTTGAGCAGATCCTCACTTCCTACCCTTAAAACTCCCCACAGCCATCTCTAAACAAATAGAAAGTTCTCCTGAGAAAGCCATTTTCTAAGTATTTTTGTTAATAAGTGCAGGGAATTAGAATGGAATATGAGCTAAAAATTATAAAAAATGTAATCTGTGGCTACTCCAGTGACTCATAAATTATAGCATTTTCTTAAGTCTTTGTCTTCAAACTATAGGGTTTTTGTCACCCTTGATAGCCTTCATAAGAAGCAGCTTGATTTGGTCTTCGAGCCTCTCTCTAATCTGGTCACAACCCGCCTTTCCATCCTTTCCCATTGTTTTATGGTTGTCCCTGCAGGTCAGCGAAACAGAGTAGCGTTTATCATCAGCATATACCACAAAAGCCTGCTTATACTGTTCTCTCTGCCCAGAATACATGCACTTCTCCGTTTCTCAAACTCTATGAGAAATGGGTTGAGGCCCATTTCAAAACTAGCTCTTTCATAAAACCTTGTCATGGTAGCAAGAAATGTTTACAGTGAAGCATCTCCTGTCCTTCTGGACTAGAGGTAGAAATCAGAATAATTAGAAGCTGAGAGATGATGAGGTTTTTCCCTGTTTCTACCGCTGTGTAACTATGGAGAAGTCCTGTCTCTCAGGCCTGTTTCCCCCTTTCTCAACTATCCCACTCAGGGAAAAAAATGAGTTTGCCTCCTTCTTTTAGACCCCAGTAACTCTTTGTCCTCCTTGTTGTCACCTATATACTCTGGTTGCCTTGTAATTCCTTGTTTTCTTGTATTTATTCTGTAGGAGATCAGAAGCTGGTGGAGAGAACCTCTGTCTGGCTATTAACAATATGCATCTGGCACTTGGCATAAATTTGGTGTGTGGTAGTCGCCCGTTAATACTCACCGAACACCTATTTACATACTTATTCTTGTGCTCCCTCCAGGGCCTATTTAAAACATCAAGATTGAGCACTCAGGGACATTGTTGAGTTGACAACCTTGCTCCATTGTTTTCTGCCTCCTTTCTTGGACTGGCGTTCTTGAGAACTGGAGATTTATTTTTTATTCATCTCCCATATTCATAGAAGAAGCTTCATTCCAGCATCCTTTTCAGAAAGCACAGGGTGAGGTAAAAGTGAATATCTGTATTCTGAAGAGGATCTTTCTGAGTGAGCCAAGGACTCTCATAAGATTATTGTCTCAAGAAGAACATTTTATAATAAAAAAAATATTGGGGGCTCAGTTTGGGACATTCTTGGGAAATACAAAGTTCCTTTATTGACCAAGAAAATTCATATTGTAATGTAGAGAGAAAAGAGGAAAATTATTCCAATCCTTGTCTTCTAGAGATTCAGACTGAAATGTTTGATATCTGGGATTTGCATCAAAACAATGAGGGGGTGGTTTTAGTGGGTGACAGACTAGATTGGCCACAGGTTAGTAATAGCTGAATCTGCAGAATAGGTACACAAAGGTTACTTATTCTGTTCTGTTACTTTTGTCTTTATTTAAAAGTTTTCCCACTAATGACTTGGAATTTTTACCCACATAGCATAGGTTTTAGAATTAAGCAGGCCTGAATTTAAGACTGGCGCCATTCCTTGTTAGCTGTGTAAACTTGGACAAGTCTAACCTCTTTGAATTTACCTCTCTGTGTCCCCTGTGAAACAGATACTACTTTTCAGGGTTCTTTTGAGTTTTCAAACACACAATACATACAATACATGTATGCATATACCTATCTGCAATGGCTAAGTTCTAGCCTAACCAATCCACTGAAGACAAACCAAGTTGGCCATATTTAGAGAGAAGACAAATCTTAATTCTATTTCCCCACTTGTTGCTGAATAGGAAGGCCTTTCATCTCCATGGGGTCCCTTCTCAACATTTCCAATAATCTCTAGGGACATATACTGATATCTCCTAATGTCCTCCAGGCCCCACCAAGTAGTGGGTCCCAGGGAAAGAGATGTAATCTCCCCCAGAGATTGTGGGGAAAAGAAGCTGGTTCCACCACTCATATCTCTGCAGTCTTCTTTGTTCATGATCCCTCCTGCCCACAGGCCCTCCATGTTGACCTCCTTGGAGCTCTGTGTCTGATCACCTAGGGATCTTCTCTCCCTGGCTGGTAGAGAGATCAGTTCTCCCTTCAGGTCTTCCTGTGGTGCTGGGTAGATTCCTTGTGATGGGATTGTTCAAATTTCCCTCTCAGTGAATTTCAAGGCACATAAATAATCCAGCAGGCCGGGAGGCACAGTGGTCAGTAAGTAGCAGCCTCCCACTGCCTCCAGTACTGCGGCTCCCTTCAGGAGCTAGGCCTGATGGTCCATTTAGCACAACTTCCTCAACTCTTCCTCACTCTTGGCAGTTTCTCTCCAGGGCCCAGCTGTCTCTCCTTACAGTCTGTCATCTATTCCTTAATCACTGCTTCCACCGTGGAGTCTGAACAGCAACCCAAGTGCCAAACTAGACATGTGCTTAGGTACCTGTGTGAGTTCCCCAAAACTCCAAAAATTAAGGAACTTCATAAAAATTCTATGATTACGAAACTGATTCTTCTGTCTACCTATTTCAGTCTCAGATCTGACCCCACCAAGACACTTTATAGTATGTATGCAAAGTTCCTGGTTCCCATTAAACACTCAGAAAATAGCAGCTGTGACTGTCCTCCAGGATCAGAATGATCAGCATCGTGAAGCTCAGAAGATCCCTTGTCATGAGCATTATGTAGTGTGCAGACTTGTCAAATCCCTATCTTGTATACCTGAAACCAATACAGCATTGCATGTCAACCACACATCAATTAAAAAAAAAAAAAAAAAAGAGGGGTGCCTGGGTGGCTCAGTTGGTTGGGTATCCAACTCTTAATCTCAGCCCAGGTGTTCATCTCAGGGTGGTGAGTTCAAGCCCATTTTGGGCTCTACACTGGGCACGGTGCCTACTTTAAAAAAAAAAGGGGGGGAAGAGGAGGGGGAGAAGGAAAAAGATACCTTATCACAGTCAGAAGATATGAAGACGAATTTCTGTTTTTACTTTGGCTGTTCAAAAAAAAAAAATTAAGTGTATTGCCATCCCTTTGAGGTGTCCCTCATGTTATTACATGTTTTTGTCTAAGATATACTATCATTAGGAGGAGGTAATTTATGAGACAATGGACAGAATGAATTTTGAAATATCTCAGAAGATTTTCTGGCCATTGTCTGTCCTGTTCTCTCGGGCTGTGTGTAGTGTGGCATTAATAACCTTGGAGAATAAATAACATTGCCTGTTGCAAAATAGGGAGATGTAGAAGTTGACTGATAACTGCACTAGAGATGAACCTCATAGTGGTAGGTGTGTCCTGTAGATCTGAGGGTGTGGTGTCCTTTTAGTTACAAATTAAAAAAAAAAACTTATTAGGCATTTTACTTTTGTTTAGGTTACAGTAGTTGTGATCTTTTGGCATTCAGTTTTACATTCTTTTTAGAACACCAAAACTGGCCCTGAGTCAAGGGCATTTTTTTTTTTTTTAAGATTTCATTTATTTGACAGACAAAGATCACAAGTAGGCAGAGCAGCAGCCAGAGAGAGAGGGAGAAGCAGGCTCCCTGCTGAGCAGAGAGCCCAATGGAAGGCTGGATTCCAGGACCCTGAGATCATGACCCAAGCTGAAGGCAGAGGCTTAACCCACTGAGTTACCCAGGTGCCCCAAGTCAAGGGCATTTTTAAAGTTAGAATGAAATAGGACCCTATGGATATGCAGTTTTTTTCTCAGAAAATCCTATTAATTTGTTTGAGTGGCACCAATCATCTACAATAGACCTATCAGCAAAAATTACATTGGTAAGGTGAATGTAGATTAGTGCAAGAGTTTCTAATCATAAAATCTACAGATGAAGAAACATTTCATCTAGGAGAGCAAAAATGAAGTAACCCCAGGAAATTATCTAAGCCTGTAATTACCCTTACGAATATCTTAAAAGCTATTTCTTATTGTTCTTTAACTTTTCCTACCTGAATATTGAAATAATACTGATGTGCATGTGTGTGTGCGTGCGTGTGTGCACATGTGCCTGTGTAGCCTGTATTTGCTGACCCAGCCCATGGGAGAATATGTCTCAGTTTGTTCCATGAGCACCTTGGCTACCGCACCCTCCAGTAGATGTTGTCAAAAGCAAATGGGCTGGACCCTGGATTTTCATGTAAATGTTATGCAGGTTGATATTTGAATGGCCTGCGCAGGAAGAACATTCTTCCTGCTCTGTGCTATCGACATGTGTTAGACTCATTGACTTGAGCCAGTGTTCTACTTGTAAGTAAGTCTGTCATCTGAGCTCTTTTTCTTGCTTTTAGTCAACTTCTTAGCTTTACTTGGTTTTGAAATATAGCCAGCAGGTTATCTTTTTCATGATTTGCCTAGGTCTTGATAGTTATGTGGGGGTTAGGGTTTCCTGTGAGTCTGGGATGCTGGTTTGAATAGTGGTGACTTTTGATGCTGGGAAAAAAAGAACACAGTTATGGAAAAATTGCCAAGTTATTTCCCACCCCCACTCCATATGCACAGACACCCTGAGGAGTTTTATTTCCAATTTCATTAACTATAGTTCTAAATTTGAAAAAACGTCTTTTATCCAGTTACACCTGTAAGAAGGGAGAAAATGCTGTTAGATCAAATTTATGAAAATCTGGGGTTGAGATATGTTGTATATTGTTTTTTTTCTGATCAGTTAGATTTATAAAGACTAATGAATAGGAGTAATATCCAATTGCTTACCTAGCAACTGTTTCAGAACAATAATGTATGACTACTAAATATGTGACATTTCTCCAAAATTACAGAATTAATAATCTATATTTTATATTTATCAAAAAGTTTCTCACTAAAATGTTTCACATAAAAGGTACTGAACAGAAAGGCTTATACACAATATTACAGCAAATAAGACTAATTTATAATATAATGGAGGTAAACTCTATTTCTGCTGTATTTTGATTTTAAATGAGATTTTTTTTTTTGAAAAGTCTATAGAAATGATGTGTTTCCTTTCTCCCCATATTAGAAGTCAGTTTAATTAAATAGAAAGTGACTGTATTCTCTTTTATACCCCTTAAGTTCGGATATAGGTATCTGTAACCCTAATAGGTATAATTAGTTTTTTTCAGACAAAATTAACTTTTTGGGGCACCTGGGGGGCTCAGTGGGTTAAAGCCTCTGCCTTCAGCTCAGGTCATGATCTCAGGGGTCCTGGGATTGAGCTCCACACGGGCTCTCTGCTCAGCAGGGAGCCTGCTTCTCCCCCTCTCTCTGACTGTTTCTCTGCCTACTTGTGATCTCTCTCTCTCTCTCTCTGTCAAATAAATAAATAAAAATATTTAAAAAAAACAAAATTAGGCTTTTAATTAGTGCAATATTATTATATATGTATTAACTATAGGACAGTAATAAGTATCATTTCAAGACATATATTATCAAATTTTTATATGTTATAGGGTGTTAAGTGTGCCTGATTTTTAAATTATTGTTAAGGAATGAATCCTTGTTGACGTTTATGATGTATGATACTTGATGAAACTGAAGGATATTTAATATTTTCCTTTTTTATAGCTTCATTTCTTACATATATATTGGAATATAGTTAAATAAGCATATAACAATTACTAATGCATCTCTTAAATATTTTAATGATAGAGTTATCATTTACCTGTAAGTTATAAGGTACAATTTCTCTTCAAAATATAATTCAAATATAACCCCATTCTGTTCTGTGCATATTACTTTCCTCTGTGGAGTGTTGCCTATAATTTTTATGTATTTGTCTTCCTGACTGGCTTACAAACCTCTCTGGGACAAGGACTGTAGTTTTGTGTGTGTGACAGGCTGGCTTCTGTCACTGCTTCTGGGACAAAGTGAGGCTTTGATGAAAGCTGATGAATTAAATCAAGCTGATGTCGTGACAGCCTTCAAGCACCCATGGTCTGACCCAAAGGCGTTTAACCAGAGACAAAATGAAATAAAACAGAAGATTGCCTAACATTGATATGTAGGATTAGGTATAAATTCTTGCTTTGCACGTTTGTGGATTCTTCTAAACATTGGAGCTGAACATCTTAAACGTTTATGTTTAAATCATGTACTGGTGTGTAAGACCATGACTGGGAAGTCTGTGCCTCACCACCAGCCTGGGTTATGGGTTCTCAGACACAGTTCTGTTCACAGTGGAGAGGACACTGTATTAGTTCGAACTGGGTTTGGAGGCTGATCCCACTATTCAGAATATTCCTGGGAAATTATTTTATTCACTGGTTTTACTTTCTCTACCTGAAATAAGTAAATATTTTCTTTCTAAAACCCACTTTCTAAGGTTGTTGGGAGAATGAGATGGGATGCTATATAAAAGGGCTTCTGTACATTCTAAATGCTGTCATTATATTGCATAACTATGTATTTTGCAAACTGTTACTAAGCCCATACTTTTCTGTTGCGATAGTCTATATAGTCTGCGGTAGATTCCAAATACTGTGTGTGATACAGTGTTCCTCCATTGAAACCTGTTGTTGGGTTGTGGCGGTTAATAAGTTCTCTCCTGGGTTATAGAATATGTGAATGTCTTCATCTCTTTGTTTTTTGTGCACATTTTTGATCAGTTGGTTTCAATTTTCAATATTAAATTCCTACATAAACCAAACAATGATGAAAATAGACGTTATTAGAAAAACATACTATTAAAGAGTAATGCATGTTCCCACTGTATTATTTGAGAGTAAGTGCGCTAATCAACCCTAACGTCCTAAAGTTCCCTCTAAATTAGGAACTTCTGATCAAGATTAAGAAGTTCAAATAAGACTTTCAAACACTTGCCCTGGCAGCCTGGGACCACGATTTTGTTAAGCTCTGTTTGAGCACCAAGTAATAGGTGCTGATGTAGATAAGGATCTCAAATATCCTTCAGATCTTTGAGAATGGGATTAAGTTTAAAAGGTATTATTTGTCTAGCTAGAAAATTGAAAACCATTTTTAAATCATCAGGTCAAAAGTTTTAGGTTGAATATTTCCATAAATAGAAATGTTGTGTTATGTCCACATAGAATGTTCTGTTTAAAGACAACTTGACTTAAGTTCATGAAATAAACTCTATCTGCCCTTTAAGTTTAGAATTTGTTTTGCCCAAGAATTTATTAGGTATTCTTTAAATATTGGACTTGTAATTATATTTAAAATTGGATTTTTTTTTTTGAAAGTACAACTTGGAGAAAGTATGTTTATCAATCTGCCTTATAGCGTCCCATTCCCATATCCTCTTTAAAAGAGCACAGTAAATATGGGTCCATTTAAAATTGTATGAAAATGTTTGCTTAAAACAACATTTCTGGAATGGAAAATGTCAAATTGTTGAACTTATTTTTCCTTTTCCTTTTTTTTTTTTTTTTTTTTAGGAGAATGGTGTTGACCACTTGTATTCTGAGAGCCTGCCACAGTCCAGGTTTGCTTTTTTGTGATGTGCATTTGAAGGTATATTTGGTTAATTTTTAAGGAACTTTTTGGACTTGACACTCCAAAATATTTCCTCTACTCTTGACAGGGAATGTTCCACACTGTCATCTCCTGGACATACTTTGTCCACAGAGAGTACTATAACTTCAAGTGGTGAGTGAACTTAGAAAACATATAAAAATAGAGTATTAGTATTATAACTATAAGCTTGGTTTCTATGGCCTGCTGAGGTGAATGCAAGTGAAAACAACATAGGCAAATAACTTTTTTGCATGGTGTTCATGCTGTTAGTTTCTTCCTGTTGATAGATTCTGGGTCAGAAATTTTGAATATGGCTTCTGATGACCTTGACTATAAATCACTCTGTGAGAAAGAGGAAGATACAAGATCAGCTTCTGGTATGATAAAGATCACAGGTAAGCTATTGAAGTATTCAAATATAGTTTCCATTCCAAAGCAGTAAGTAAGTAAACCTGTAAGCTACTGGAGCAACTATCTTCATAGTTCAGTAACATTTTATTTAAAAAAGAAATTGAAGATCTACTCGGGGAAAAGAAGTCCGAGAGGTAATCGTGGCCTTCATATATGCTAGTGTTGCCATTTTTCCCCAAGTTCTATGGAAAGAACAAAAATTACAATATATTTTAATAGGACTTAAATATTTCCTAATGACAAAGATTGACTGGCTACAACTGGGTTTCTATTGTGGCTTAGGTGTAGAATCACTTGCTTAGGAAATTCTCAGAATCTTGGAGCACCTGGGTGGCTCAGTGGGTTAAGTGTCTGACTTTTGATTTTGGCTTAGGTAATGATCTCAGCGTCATGAGATCAAACCTGCACCAGGCTCTGCCCTGAGCATGGAGCCTGCTTAAGAGTCTCTCTTCTTTCCCCACCTCTTCTTCTGCTTTTCTGCCCTTCCACTTGTGCTCATGTGCATGCTTTCTCCTCCCCACCCCTCACCCCCAAAATTCTCAGAATCCTAATTAGAATCTGCTTAGTTAAAAGAATGGGCCAATTCGTGATGGTCCACTCAGGGGGCAAAAGAATTAACTAGATAAAACATTCCATCCTTTTTTGCTCCTTGAGTCTGACAACAGGTAGTTACTCTCAACCATTCCCAGTGAGACATCATACAGTGAATACTGATGGGAAGTGCATAGGCTCCCGTACACACACACACACACACACACACAAAATAAAATAAATCAGTCAAGGAAAATTCATTCTTAAGTTGAGATATAGATGCTAGACTAAAGGAGTTGCGAAATCGTAGAAATAGAATCCATTCTTTATTTTAACTGAAGAATATCTTCATACTTTAGCTCAGACTGAAGAGAAATTTTATTTATTTTTAAATTTTATTTATTTATTTGACAGACAGAGATCACAAGTAGGCAGAGAGGCAGGGAGAGAGAGAGGGGGAAGCAGGTTCCCTGCTGAGCAGAGAGCCTGATGCGGGGCTCGATCCCAGGACTCTGGGATCATGACCTGAGCTGAAAGGAGAGGGTTTAACCCACTGAGCCACCCAGGTGCCCCATGAATAAGAGAAATTTTAATTAGAACTACACAAGATAGCATTTTTCACCAGTCATGTAGACAAAGATACAAAACTTTGATTACACTCTGTTGGTTAGCTTGTAGGGCAAAAAAGGAAATCTCATACATTTCGGTAGGGAATGTAAATTATTATAATTAATATGGAGGAGAATTTGCCAATATCTACCAAAATGTTAAATATACATATCCTGTGATAAAACAGTTTAGTTTCTGGGACTTTATCCTATAGATCTAAATACTCACATGACTTGTAGAAGTTTCTTTACTACAGTATTTTCTATAATAACAAAATACTGGAGACAAGTTAATTATCAAAAGAAGCCTAGTTAATATATATTGGTATCTCCATGTAATGGAATACTAATATACATCCATAAAATGTATATAAGGAAACTTTCTTAGGCATATCAAAGAATTATTGTCTCTAAAAAAAAAAAAAAAAAAACCCAAATGCAAAAAATTACATATTGCCTATAAAATTCTGTGGGAAAATAAAAAGGATAAGAAGTTTTTATGTATGCACAAAGTATTTCTGAAAGGCTAGACAAAAATTAAATAACATTGTTTATGGAGAGGGAAAGTAAGTTTCTTATAGGCATGGATGGGAGGGAAATTTTTTACCATAAAACATTTTACACTCTAAAATTTATGGGCCATATGAATCTATCTGTCTTAAAAGTTAACAAAAAATTAAAGTTTTCATTGGGAAAAGGCATTTTATCTCTGAAGAAAGTGGTTACCATTTTCTTAATTTCCTATAAATTTTAAAAATATACATACTTGAACTATTTCTTTTTCTTAAAAAGAAACAAAACCTATTTATAGTTGCTGACCTTTGTGCCTGTACTGAACTAAATTCAAGACAATGGATCATGTAAAGAGGAAAATCATTATCAAGTACATTGCAGTACAAATAAAGTACACGAAAATAAAGGGAAATTACAGAGAAGAATGGCATAAACCAGAAGTACCTATGTTTCTTTGATGACTTTTTTTTTAGAAAGATACCATGCTTTGGAAGGGTATCATACTTGGTTATCAGCCTTACATCTGTAATTAAAAAAAAACCTCTTTTGCAAGCTGATTGTTCATCCTTCCTTCATCCATCTTCTGTAAATATACTAGTAATGTGTTTGATTTAAAAAAGCAGCAGCAGCCTTAAGAAAGATTTTAAAAATTATTACTTGAAGGGCTATTTATACAGATACTCATTTCTATTAAGAAATCTTAAATGGCTAGCTTCCTTGGAAACCTTAGCTGTTCTAGTCCTGATTTTTAGTCCATGGGCACATTTAAAAATTTTTGGTACATAATTTGTCTCGCATGTTAAGGTATTTGACATTTTCTAGTCTGTTCATATTGTCACCCTCACTATTTCCTTCTCTTTTATTTGTCACTGCTCAGGTAACTGTTTAGTGTGTTCCCTTTTTCTCACAGGCAAAAGTGCATCTCCTGAGAATATTGCACTGCAAGGCTCTGTGAGTGAGGACAAAACCATGTTAAATCTGGTAAGGAAATATATGTATGTTAACAGTAAAGGTAATGATATATTACAGCAGTAGAACTGTCCCTTTAAGTTTGCAGAATACTCTTAAAAGCACTATCTCATCCTTCTAAAATATTATGAAGTTAATAGAATTTAATTACTCTAATATTTTATAGACAAGAAAGTTGGTGCCAAAGAGTCCTTGTGACATGTTCAAGGTCACACAGTAAAGTCAGAGCTAGAACCTCCTGACTTCACATTATTTTTTCATTCACTCATTCACTTATTTATTCAACAAAGGTCTCCTGGAAACAAGGTCAGTATCTATCAATAGAGGACTTTTAAGTAAACAAAGGTGTTAATAAATAAGGTTAAATAAAGCAGTGATATTTACCTTAAAGATATGTTCTAGTTAAGAGAACGTGTTCTAATTAAGGGAAGAAACATACAGTTACTCAGTAATATATAATTTCTCAGTATGGTTAGTGATATAAAAGAAAAATGTTTGGGGTAAGAGCCCAGACAAGTCTCATGGAGGAGGTACTTTGTGAATGGTATTGATGCTATCCAGGCACTTGGAAAACTGATTTAAACATTTAAATGTTTATAGAAAAAGTTAAGTTCCTTTCCTTAAAGAGAAGGTGCATTGTCACTTGTTTGAATTTATAATTATTGAGAAGTAACTAGTAGACTATGGATCCAATTCCATGTTTCTTTAGGGTCTTGTTTATGTATCAGTGCCTCTCTGTTAAAAAGGGATCATTATTATTAGTACTAGTAGTAGTAGCAGTATCATTGGGGTGTGTGTGTGTGTGTGTGTGTGTGTGTATTGTTTTTCCCCTCAGTGTATAAATATTGCTTTAGTGAGGCACATTTGGTTTTAAGAAACAGAGACTCATGAAAGCTAACTCAAGTTATGAGAGATGGTTGTGGCATAGATACATTTGAGGCAATAGGGTAGGTAAAATTTTATACTATTCTAGTCTGAATGGAGTGGAATGATTGGGTATATGATTTGGAAATTGTTCCTTGTAGTATCAAGCATATAGAGTGTTGTGTTGGCCAGTAAGTGTGCCGAAAGTGGTTGCCCCTTATAAAACACAGAGGAATATCTGGGCTCCTCTAATTGTTCATGGTAGTCTTTTGAGAAAAAGAATTTCTTCCCATCTCAAAACAAGATAGAAATAAAGAAACTTAAAAATAATGGGTTAGAAAATGTAGTAATGGAGATGGGGTACTGGTTAGGATACTATCGCAACAATTCAGGCAAGGCATGAAGATACTATGAATTTATTGTGGATGGAGAAAAGAATAATTTGGGAGAGATTGAGGGGACAGAATTTATAGTACATGGTAACAGATAACTATGATGGGGGTTGGGAATGCATGGGAAAATGTTAAAACTTGGGCTTTTATGGCTTATCCTACAGAATGAATGGAATATCATGAGAATAGGGAGGAAGTAAGAAGAGTAGAATTTGGGGGTAAAATAAGATCAGTTTAAGTTTCAGGTTGATATGAGACATCAGCACTCTGGAAGGTTATATAGATAGCTACATAACTATATTCATAAACTCGAATTCCTAGGACTTTTAGGAGCAGACACACATTTGTGAGCTATCAGCAAAAAAAACAAGTACGTGAATGAGATTTCCCGAGGACGCTGGTAGTCAGGAAGAGCGCACTGGAAATAACGGACTCTTGTTGATTCCATTATCTAACAAAAGAAGGCAATGGCAGAGGAAACTCAGAAGGAGCTACTATAGCGATGGGAGGACATCAGGAGGTGACAACCAAGGAAAGAAAAATCTTCGAGGAGGAGAGGATTCTAGATCATTTTAGATGCTACAGTGAAGTCAAATAAGATAAAGTCTGAAATTTTTCCATTGAATTTGGCAATAGAGAGTTCACGGATAACTGGAGAGGGAGGTTTTTCTTGGGAGTATTGGGTACAGGGACAGAAGAAAACCAAAAAACTGGAAACAGCAACCATGGACAATTCTTTCGAGAAGAATCATGGCCTTAAAAGATAGGATTGGAAGAAGATGTCCTATCTGGAAGAGGTCAGGGTGTTGAAGGAGGATTCAGTAAACTTAAGGATATTTAAATGTTGATGAAGAATGATGCAGTGTTTTACCTGTATTACTGCATTTGTTACATTTTTCAAAAATTGTACCTTCAATGCTCTAAAAATTACATGACATAGTATCAATGGCTCTACCAAGGAAATTTGTCTTAGACTTGTTTTTCAGGAAAAATTTCTAAGAATGTTGAAAATTATCACCATAAAAATGATTTTATACCTATTATTTTCTCATTTATCTCAGGCAGTATAGTATAACCCTCTTATTATGATAAGATAGATAAATTTGTAGGATAGTTGGTCAGCAACCTTAAAATGTATTTATATGGAGTAAAAGCCTAACATAACATACCTGCAATTTTTGCCACAAGTCCCCCAAGAGCCCATCTAGAAAGCGAGGTGTGATGGTCCTAGATCACCCCTACCTCTTTATCCAGCCAGTCCTCCCACTCCATCAAGCTCCAGCATGTTCCTTGTCTGTAGAGACTTTCCATGCTTCTCAAGCCATGGTGTCTCTCCCCTCCCTTTGTAGAGCCCTTACTTATTCACATCTCATTTATTTGGCAATCAATCCTAGTTTGCCTTACGGTAACTTGTATCACATTTATAGCTGTTCATATGTTTCCCTTTGGTACCTCAACTAGATTGGAAACCCCCTTAGAGCCAGTCCTGCTTTCTTCTCTAACCTCTAGTTCAGTTCTTTGAATATCATAGTGTTTTTGATAGAGTAGGGTTAGGAGAGGACAGGAAGTTGGAACATGATTGGTTATGAAGGATTTCCACTCTACCTACAGCAATAAAATCTCTTTATGATTTTAGGAAGCAAAAGAGGAACCAGTAACAATAGATGAGCATAGAAAAGAATGTGCTGCAAGAGGTAAGGAATGTTCTCTCCCAACCCCCATGAGAACTTTTGTTCCTGCTTATATTTTTATGAGTGAAATCTTTCTGAGTAAAGATATGATACCTATAATTATGCATCTCTAGGTAAAATCAGTCAATAAAATTGATTCTTGATTCAATTTATATCATTTTTGAAAAGCCACATTTATGTTGCATTAACTATTAAGTCCCAAGGACTTGTAATAACTCCTGTGTTATTGTGAACAAAGAACCATGCCAATGTTGGTAGCAAATTCTAAGCTCTACTTTGAGATCTTTTTAATTATCTGATCTGAAAGTAAATAATATTTTAAAGAATAAGTGCTAGTATGCTTCCCTCTCCATTCCACCTCCATTAGGATGGAGTAGTGGATAGAGGTGGGACTTTGAAGTCACCCAGACTATATTGGGTGACTTTCTGTCTAGGTATGACTTCAGAAGGTTATTTAACCTGAGTGTCAACTTCCTCATCTGTGAAATGGAAAGGATGAGTTTAAAAGATTAACCTTTTTTGAGAATATATCATATGCTAAGTTCTAGGCTAAATTCCCATTTTTTAAAGATTTTATTTGACCTAGAGAGAGAACACAAGCATGGGGAGCAGCAGGCAGAGGGAGAGGGAGAAGCAGACTCCCTGCTGAGCAGGGACCTCGCCCCAGCCCCCACCCATGCAGGGCTCAATCCCAGGACCCTGAGATCATGACCAGAGCCAAAGGCAGACATTTAACCAACTGAGCCACCTGGGTGCCCCCTAAATTATGTACATAATTTAATTCATTCCCCCAAATACCTATGGAAGGTAAATTGCAATTCAATTTCCTAGCCTGTGGACTGTAGATGATAACAGTACCCAACACAGGTTTGCTCTGAGGATTGAATAAATTAGGTATAAAGCAGTTAGAAAAGATGCTTGGCAAAGTTCTCTAAAAGCTACTATAAAAAAATAATATCATCCTTGTTTTGTAGGTGGTTTGATGAAGCTGTGACTTGTTCCAGGTCACAAAGCTATGAGAGTCAAAGCTGGGACTTATATCAGTTTTTTTTTTTTTTTTTAACTCTAATACTCTTAATAACTAATATATTGTCCTCTTTGTGAAGTTTTCATGAAGAGTATCATTAATATGTATACAGAGTCCTGTTTGGGCACTGGCGTGTAGTAAACTTGTGACAAATGGGTGATACCATGCTTACTGTTGCTGTCATTTTACTGTTATTCTACTGTACTATGACTGTTACTCTTACTACTACAATGACTCTTCCTCCTGCTGTGGCTGTTGAAGCCTTGGTCTGAAGAAGGACTAGGGTAACAGAAGAAGGTATGCATTTAGCCCTGAGATCAAGTCAGATAGACATTCAAATGCAGAGAGAGCAACTGGGCTCTTCCTGGACCCAGATATTTTCAGGTTTCAGACTCTTCACATGCTGACGTGTGAGCCAATGATTTTAATGTCCTTGTGATCCTAGTAGCATAGCATAATGTTATCTTATATTGAAGCAAATGCATTATTTTGTTTAAAAGAGTTTATTTATGTATTTGAGAAAGAGCCAGAGAGACAGCACAAGTAAGGGGAGCAGCAGAGGGAGAAGGAGAAACAGGCTCCCTTCTCAATAGGGCTCCAGCCCAGGACCCTGGGATTATGACCCAAGCCGGGGGCAGACACTTAAGTGACTGAGCTACCCAGGCACTCTGAAGCAAGTTATGTTATTACCTGGCTATTATTTCAGACATTCTTCAAGGAAATGCCTTTGTGTCATGGAGAGAGGACATTTGACTGAATGTGCCTTCAGCCAGGAACCTTTGTAACCCAATACTATTTTATTATCTTTTAATAGACACTGCTGTTTCCTTTCTTCCTGTAACAACTGTGAAATCCATTAACTTTAGACAAAGTGACAAGTAAGTTCTTCACATGGCCTGTTCACAGTTTTTGCTTTTCTGTTGAATTATGTTGGAATAAATTTTTTTGTCTTTTCCTACAGCACTTCTGCTAATGAGAAGGAGGTGGAGGTGAGTTTTTTCCCTTTAAGTTAAAAAAAAAAAAAAAAAAAAAAAAAAGGTGTTTTTGACCCCCTTGTCTATCATCACTCTATACTTTTACCCAAGCTGTACCTGGTGTCTGGATGGCTTGGCAGTGACTAAGCGCAGGGAAAGCCGAGGCATGCCAGCATTATGTTGCTGGGAGGAAAAAGAATGACTCTGCATAATCCGGTATTAAACTGAAATATTTCCCTACCACCAGTTTTCTCCCCATCACCTGCACATTATTTTGATGACAGGCCGAATTTCTCAGATTATCTTTGGGATTTAAGTGTGATTGGTTCACCCTGGAGAAAAGAGTGAAGCTTGAAGAAAGATCCCGAGACTTGGCAGAAGAAAATTTGAAGAAAGAAATCACTAACTGTTTAAAGCTCTTAGAGGTGAGAATCTTAACATTTGGGAACTCCACATGTGATGATCCTATTGTTAATAATGTTTTCAAAATTAGATACAGGTTTACTTGTGTGACTAAAAACGACAACAGGTGCCAAGCCCTGCCTGACTCCAATGTAAATTAATAGGAAGTAAGAATTCAGGATCAGGCTAAAATAAATGATTCACTAGTAAAACCAATGCCTTTTAAAGTCATTGTGAGTCACCTGCCTTCTCTGGACATTCAAATAGGTTTGAGGCAGAACAGCCACCATGCAGGAAACTGAGCAATAGGAGATTGTCAATTTTAAGCTTCAAAGACGAGAATCAAAAGTCTAATTCCATTGAATTAACTGAAAAAAGACAATGGTGATTGATTTTAGTCTTGTCAGATGATTGGCAAGCCCTCTCTAGGTACGCAGATAACAACCACTATTTTTCCATTTTGTGAAATCACCACAAATATAGAGGTGGGTTGGAAAATTAAGAGGATTATTTTTGGAAAGAAATAAAACTTGAGAAACCATATTCTTTTTTTTATTGTTGTAAAAAACATGTAACATCAAATTTACCATATTAACCATCTTAAGTGAACCATTCGGGTAGTGTTAAGTATGTTCATGTTGCTGTAAAACAGATCTCCAGAACTTTTCCGTCTTACATACTGAAACTCTGTACCCGTTAAACAACCCCCCTTTTCTCCTCCTCTTATCGCCTGGTCACCATTTTGCTTTCTGTTTCTATGAATCTGATGACTTCAGATACTTCATAGAAGTAAAAAATCATACAGCGTTTGTCTGTTTTGAGCAATCTCATGGCCCTGAGATCACAACCTGAGCTGAAACCAAGAGTCGGATGCTTAACTGACTGTGCCACCCAGGCGCCCTCTACTTTTCCTTTTTTAAATGCTACAAAGTTGATGGTGTTTTAGATTTGGGCAAGTCTTAGAAATTTGCTCTCAGCTAATAAGCAGTGGCTTGTTTGCTTCCGAAACTGCTGTCCTCTTAATTCTGTCTCCACCCTAGTGGGAGGGATGGTTCTCCACCAGAAAGGCCATCATCTTGGATCAAGGGCACAGGTTTGAAAGAAATATTCATAAGGCAGTGAAGGCCTACCCCGCATCTAGCCAGATCAGTAATTCTTTGTCATCAGTGGACGAGCACATAGCATAGTCAGAGCCATATCTACATCTAGTATGTTTTCTCTACTTAAAAGTTCAAACCATGCTCTTCATATAATATATTCAACTCATTCATAAGCATAATTTCTTTGCCATCACCAATTAAGTATGTCCCATTCTGTTAATTACGGAAAATGATATACAGATGTATGAAGAAATGGCGAATTTGGGAAGGAAGAGATTGAGATTAGATATAAAAGGTTTTGGAAACATTTGCATAGGTCTGCTTGATAGCTAACAAAGATATTAATATTTCAGTATCATTCATTATTGGTCATTGTTACTTTTCACTTTATACCAAGATAATTGAGATGTGACTGTCATCTCTATTTGCAACATAGTCATTGTTGGAATCACTTGCTGAATACTTGGGTTGGATATATTTTAATACTTTGCTTTCTGTGCAGTCTTTAACACCACTTTGTGAAGATGACAACCATGCCCAGGAAATAGTTAAGAAGCTGGAGAAGAGTATAACACTTCTTAGTCAGTGCACTGCACGAGTGGCCAGTAAGGCTGAGATGCTGGGAGCCATTAATCAGGTAATCTGCCTTCATTTCTGTAGCTCAATGAAATTCCTAGAAGGATTTGTTTTCCCTGAAATCATGGATTACATTTCTAAGAAAAAGTTTTAAAAAATACTTCTGTGTTACCTAAGATGTACGTGTTTAACACAGAGAAAGTGGAATATGCAAATAAAATGCAAAAAAACGCCCTCTCTTAATTGCATTAGCCAGTGACAGTCATGCAAATAATCTCTTCCAAATATCAGTTTCATACTTTCTCCTTTCTCTTCAAACCATCATCATGTCCTTTCCCATCTTTTCTGTCAGAAAATGACTACTTCCTGCCTCAATGAAAGCACTGAGTCATTCGGAAGGAATGGCCACAGGTTCCAAACCTAATAACATCTGAGCCCTCATACTTTTCCTCCCTTCCCAGTACAAAATATGAGTTGTCTCTAATCCTGTCTAAGGCTAACCATCTCGCCTGTATACCAGAACCCATTCCTCCTAATTTACTCAGAATTTTAGACTCAGGTTCTCCCTACTTTCCTCCATCTTCACTTTTCCCCACTATATTGAATCATTCCCATGAACACACAAATATGCTGTTTTTAAGATGGGAAAGATAACATAAACACAAGCAAAATAGTCTTTGACCTTTTCTCCTCTTTCTCTGCTCCCATTTATAGCAAATTTCCTCAACAGAATTGTACTCACTGTCTCCAATTTCTCTCCTCCCAGTTGCTCTGCAAACTGTAAATGGTCTTAACCTACTCATTTTCCTTAGCTGATCTGCTACATTCAGCATGTCCTTTCTCCTCCTGGAAACACTCTCCTCACTTGGTTTCCAGGTCCCAAATTCTCTTGTTTTTTCTCTCAACATCATGGGTCACTACCTTCCAGGCTCCTGTATGGGTCCCACCATTCTCCCTGGCTTCATAATATCAAGGGTTTCACCCTTGTACAAGTGATGTCCATCTTCCTTCAGTCCCCACACCATTCTGTGTGGTCAGTTGATGACTCCCAAATTCACATGCTTGTCCTAAACCTTTGCCATGAATTCTACACTAGAATATACTACTATGGATGCAGCATTTCCACTTGGATGTTGGACAAACTAATCAAACAACACATACAAAAGTGAACTGCTCATGGTATCTCCAAAACCCATTCTATACATAATCTTATCTCTGTCAAAGTTGATCAGATTGACAATCCTTGGGAGTAATTTTCAACAATTTTCTCTTACACTTTACCTCTAATTACACTTTACCTCTAATTACACTTTACCTCTAATCCTGCAGGAAATTGTAATTACTCTACCAACAGAATAAATCCTATTTACCATCAGAATTCAACCATTTCTTTCCTTCTCCACTGCTACCACCTTGATCTAAGCTACCATTCTATTTTTTGCAGATTAATACAATATCTTCCTAAATGGTCTCCATTTCCATTCAAACCCAGTACTCCCTGCAACATAGTCTGTTCTCCATAAAGCAGCCAGAATAATCCTTCTAAAATGTAAGCTAGATCATGTTTCTTTTTTTGTTTAAAGTCCTCTGGTGGCTTCCTCACTTTTATTCAGAATAAACCCTGAATCCTTATGATGGCTTAAAAAGATCTACACCATTCCCATGCCCTCTTACCCTATGAAATTTATGTCCTATGATAATCTTCCTGCATTATTGCATTCCAGCCAGACTGGTCTCCTTTCTGCTCATGAAACATGGGAGTAAAAATGTAGTTTGTTTAGAATGTGTTCAAACTTAAATGACCATCAACTTAACATAGACTCCTATGTACTTACAATGTTATGTATGACTTTCATGCAAACCACAGACCAAAAACCTATAATAGATACACAAAAAATAAAGAGAAAGGAATCATAACACTAAAGAAGGTCATCAATCACAAGGGAAGAGAGCAAGCGAAGAAGAAAGGAGGACAGAGAACTATAAAACAACCAGAGAACAATTAACCAAGTGACAATAAGTACACATGTAACAATCATTATTTTAAATGCAAATAGTCTAAATGCTTTAATCAAAAGACATAGGATGACCGAAAGACTAAAAAAAAAAAAACAGTACCCCTCTATATGCTGCCTACAGAAGACTCAATTCAGAGCAAAAGACACATAGAGACTAAAAGTGAAGGGATGGAAAAAAAAAATATTTCATGCAAATGGAAATGAAAAAAGTTGGGGTGGCAATACTATATCAGACAAAATAGGCTTTGTTTTCAGACAAAAGAGACTTTTAAACAGAAACTGTAACAAGAGACAAAGAAGAGCATTACATGATGACATTGGGATCAATCCAACAAGAGGATATAAAATTGTAAATCTCTGTGCACCCAACATAGAAGCACCTAAATACATTAAGCCAATATTAACAGACATGAAGGGAGACATTGACAGTGGTACAGTAATAATAGGGGACTTTAATGCCCCACTCACATCGACAGATAGATCACCCAGTCAGAAAATCAACAAGGAAATAGTGGTTTTGAACAAGACATTAGATCAGATGGATTTACACAATATTCCATCCCAAACTAGCAGAATGCACATTCTTTCCACAAGTGCACGTGGAAGTTTAGATCAGGTTAGATCACGTTAGGTAAAAAAAACAAAAAAAAAAAAACCACCAAAACTCAATAAATTTATAAGATTGAAATCGCATCAAGCATCTTTTCTAAGCACAGCAATGTGAAATCAGAAATCAATTACAAGAAAAAACTTAAAAAGATACAAACACTTGGGAGGCTAAACAACATGCTACTGACCAACCAGCAGGCAAAGAAATCAAAGAGGACATTATAAAGACTGAAGAAAATGAAAACACAGTCGTGTAAAATCTTTGGGATGTAGAAAAAGCAGGTCTAAGAAGGAATTTTAGAGTTTATACAGGCCTACCTCAAGAACCGAGAAAAGTCTCAAACAATCTAGTCTTATACCTAAAGGAACTAGAAAAAGAGCAAAGCCCAACATTAGTAGAAGGAAGGAAACAATAAAGATCAGAGCAGAAATAAATGATATAGATGAATGAAACCAAGAGATGTTTCTTTGAAAAGATAAGGAGAATTGGTAAGCCTTTAGCTAGACTTATTAAGATAAAAAGAGAGGCTCAAACACAGGGAAGAGAAGAAATAACAACTGACATCACAAAAATACAAAGGACTATAAGAGACTACTATAAAATATTATATTCCAACAAATTGGACAACATAGGCGAATGGATAAATTTCTAGAAACATACAGTCTTTTTTTATTTTTATTTTTTTTAATTTTTTTTTAATTTTTTTTTTTTTTAAGATTTTATTTATTTATTTGACAGACAGAGATCACAAGTAGGCAGAGAGGCAGGCAGAGAGAGAGAGGAGGAAGCAGGCTCCCTGCCGAGCAGAGAGCCCGATGCGGGGCTCGATCCCAGGACTCTGAGATCATGACCTGAGCCGAAGGCAGAGGCTTTAACCCACTGAGCCACCCAGGTGCCCCAACATACAGTCTTCTAAAACTTAATCAGGAAGACGTAGAAAATCTGAACAGAAGGATGTAATGAAATTGAATCAGTGAAGAAACAATAAATGTAAAAGGTAACCTTTGGAATAGGAAAAGATATTTACAAATGACATATCTGATAAAGGGTTAGTATCCAAAATTTATAATGAACTTTTATCAAATTCAATACCCAAAAAACAAATAATCCAGGTGAGAAATGGGCAGAAGACACATTTTTTCCAAAGAATACATCAGTTGGCCAACAGATAAAAGATGCTCAGCATCACACATCAGGAAAATAAAAATCAAAATTGCAATGAGAGACCACCTCATACTTGTCCAAATGGCTAAAATTAACACAGGAAACAACAGATGTTGGGGAGGATACAGAGAAGGGGAAATCTTTTTATACTGCTGGTGGGAATGCAAGCTGGGGCAGTCACTCTGGAAAACAGTATGGAGGTTCCTCAAGAATTTAAAAATATAGCTGCCCTATCACCCAGCAATTGCACTATTATTTACCTAAAGTATACAAAAATACAGATTTGGAGGGGTATGTGCACCTGGCGTTTATAGCCGCATTATCAGTAATAGCCAAATTATGGAAAGAGCCTAAATATCCATTGACTAATGAATGGGTAAAGATGATGTGGGGTGTGTGTGTGTGTGTGTGTGTGTGTGTGTGTGTGTAGTGGAATATTACTCAGCCATAAAAAAGAGTGAAATCTTGTCATTTGCAACAAAGTAGATAGAGCTAAGTATTGTGCTAAGTACACAATACAAGTATTGTGCTAAGCAAATTAAGTCAGTGAAAAGCAAATACCATATGATTTCACTGATATGTGGATTTTAAGAAACAAAGCAGATTAACATAGAGGATAGAAGAAAAAAAAAGAGGGGGGGCAAACCATAAAGGAGACTCTTAATTATAGAGAACAAACTGAGGGTTCCTGGAGGGGAGGTTCGTGGGCGGGGGGTGGAGTAAATGGGTGATGGGTATTAAAGAGGGCACTTGTGTGAACACTAGGTGTTGTATGCTAGGTGATGAATCACTAAATTCTACTCCTGAAACCAATATTACATTATATGTTAACTAAAATTTGGTTTATTTATTGTTTTAGACCCTGAATGGATATAAGCTGGCAAAATACGTTCTTGAGTTCTAGAGATTGTTTTGAATTATTTCCTTTTCCACATATTGGGTAATTTTCTTTGCTTTCTGAGTTCCTGTTGTCTGTTGGATCTCCTGAACAGGTTCTTTTTCATCTCTTTTCTAGCCTTCAGTGTTTTTTGTTTTTGTTTTTGTTTTTTTCTCCTCCTAGTTTCAGGGAGAGATCCCCAACCTTACCCTGAAACTATTTTGTTGAGTTACGTATTTTTAATATATTTTTAATTCCCAGATTCTTTTTATTCTTAGCATGTAGCTTTTTTATCTTGTAACACTTACTCTTAACTCTCTGAAGATACTGCTGGTTCCCTTGAAGCTTTTCTGTAGTTGATCTCCTCCACCTTGCTTTTTTTTTTTCTGTGTTGATTTTCCTCTTTCACAGAAGCAGCTTTCCTCTGACTAGTCATGATCCACTAGGTAGTGGAATGAGGACTGCACGTTGGGTGAGGAGGGTTCTTATTGGCTCTGAGCTTCACACAACTTGAGATGTTTCACTGGGATATCCTTGGTGTCAGGAGTTTTAAGACTTTTATCTTGCTACATTAAAGTCCTCAGAGGAAAATCTTCCAACTGCCTGCTTTCTGAGCCTAAGCCTGGCTACCAGTGTTTGCAAGTTGGAAGGAGAAAACAGGCTAGGAGTCTCAGTATTCAATATGTATACAGACTTTTGCCTAAATCTGTTTTCTGTATGATCTGTTCACCATCAGCTGTTACTGCCTAATCCACAGGCTCTTTCTCTCTCTCTAGATATTCAGTGTTTAGTCTTTCAGCAAAGTGGGGAAGGAAAGTTGCTCAGTTGGCCCAAATAAGGGAGATCTGCAGATCTCATCACTTTTTCTGCAGGTTTTCCACCATTTCTTCTGTTCCCCTATCTGTCTTCACACTGAATTCCAGAGGCACCACTAATTCCTGAGCCTGAATGGTTTTCTGTGGTGCAGCCCAGGTTGCTTGTAGGCTTTTCCTACTTTATTTTAGGGTTCAGCTTTTTCAGATCTTGGTCATTCTCCACTAGTTCTTCTACTAACTGACCTTCAAAATTTCATTATACCCTCTTCTGTTCTTTTTGTCCTGTGTCGTCTTTAAAAAACAAACAAACTAACTAAAAACCTTCATTGTCATTTTAGTGAGATTTGGGGATGGAGTGAAGATAGATGTATGTGTCTAATCATTTTTAAACTAGATATCAAGAACAATATTTTCAATGTAGATTTGTTCTTTTTTTTTTTTTTTTGCCTACTAGGAAAGCCGGGTTAGTAAAGCAGTGGAGGTGATGATTCAGCATGTAGAAAACCTGAAGAGAATGTATGCCAAAGAGCATGCTGAGTTAGAAGAACTGAAACAGGTTCTTTTGCAAAATGAAAGGTCTTTTAACCCTCTCGAAGATGAAGGTAATAAAAGCTTAATAGACTCGGTTATGTTTTTCTGAGATTCTCCTCTTTCATTCTCTTTCTTGTTAATTCTTATTATGTCTTTAGTATAAAACACTTAAGGCTATGTTAGAATAATAATTCATTCCTTCTGTTTATACAAAGTATATGTTAAGTTAGAAAGTAAAGTAAATGTAAAGTAAAATGTTAAGTTAGAAACAGGTTGGGACACACAGAGGACTCTTTGGTAATGACTCTAAAAATTCATTAAATTAGATTGCTGAGATGAGAATATATTTCATCCAACCCATTGAGTTGCCTCTAATGTTCTCCTACTTTGTGTGGCTCTTTCTCCACACACAAAGCAAAGCACAGTAAGTTAAACGAGCCACTCTCATCAACAATGATTTTCTATTTCTTGAAGAAGGAATGACTCTGGCATAGTAAGCTGGCAGATGGATTGGAAAATAAGGAGACATCTGAGACCATGGAAAATGCCTTAAAATATAGGGTTTATATAAATCTTATAATAGTCTTATTTTAAATAATGTGAACTTTTCTGAGGAGAACTTTTTAATGACTCCCTTTTCTAGGAAAAGTAATCATATTTGATAACCTTCTGATCTGTAGTTTTGGATTCATTTATTCAGTATGTATTCATTTAGCATCTCCTATGTGCTGGCTAAGCATTGTGGACGTGGACAGTGACAGAGGACAGTATTCCATCAGTGAAAATGGAAACTGTTACGAATCACCCAATGATAACCAGATATTTTTACCGTTTGGTAGTCTCTAGGGTCTTAAATATTTCTATTGCTTTTCTTTGTAAAGAATTAAGACCATTGCAATAAATTGCTTATGTAATTCCTCAAAGTGCAAATGTGTTTTTCCTTTCAGATGACTGTCAAATTAAAAAACGTTCATCTTCTCTAAACTCCAAGGTAATTACCAGTTGACTTAACAGTCTATCAAATGTTTCAGATGAAATGGTTTTAAAATATTACTTGAAACAACACAGTTTTAAATGTAAATCATATGTATATTTATGTAGATCTGCATGTGTGTGTTTAAGTTTATGTATGTATGCTTTTATACTTTTTACTATATTTGTTCAGTTACATTTGTCTGGAAGCAAGAGGAAAGCCAGATAGTTTCTCTCTCATGTAAAACTTGAGTTGGAAATAGGCAGTCCAAAAATGGTAGTGTGGTTTCACAGAATCCCGAGGACCTAGTCTCCTCTCGCCACTTCACCACCCTCAGCCCTCTGCTTCCACTTCATGGTCTGAGGTGGCTCCATCAGTACAGCGAGGGACAAGTCCTGGTCATTACATCGAGTCACATTGTAAGAAAAAGGAAGACATAAAAACAAGTATTCCCTCTCCTTCTAATGACAATTCCTAGAAGTCCCAAATAATATTTCCTTGTCATTCTTGATTGAAAATGAGACTAGAAAATCCATTTGAATTCTGGGTTTTATATCTAACTGAAAATCAGGGAGTTCTTTACCAAATAAAAAGGGGGGAGTGGGATATTGAAAGTCAACCAGCAGTTTTTGCCAGTTCGAAAATTGGGATTTCACAGAACTTTTGAGCGAGAGACTTTAAAATCATTCCATCCAAACCTCTCTCTCACAGATGAGGAAAATCACTTTCCCAGAAGTTAAGTGATTAGTTATGATCATGTAGTGGCAGAACCATGGTAAGAACCCAAGTTTCTTGGATTGCAATTTGATATTCTTGATACTCAGCTAATCTACGAAATTAGGAATGGTGGTTTAAAAAAAAGATTCACCTTAAGCTTCTTCAGTTTATTTCCTACATTTAATATATTTTTTATTTCCTGAAGTTGTACTTAAACTTTAAGAATCACAGTAGTATGTAACATTTTCCCGTGCACATCTGAGGCTGACAAACATATCCATTATCAAAATATCACACCCATCTTTAAATGTCTCAAATGCAAAAAATGAAACCATGGGGAAAAAAAAAAAGCTAGAAAATAGGTACACATTTATCTCCTCTTGAGCTGGGAATACCACAGCATAAAAGAAATGACAGCGGAAGAAAGACAGATTAGGCTGCATTAACAAAGAAAAACTCCTGCCAGAATTATCATTAATAAAATTAATATGGGCACAGATCATAGAGTCCCCAGAGCAGACATATACATGATTATTTGCATAACAAAGTGTTCAATGTCACCAGAAAACTAAATAAGAAACCTTATTTGGCAAAAATTATGCTTGTCCAGTGTTGAAGAAGGTAGAATATTAATTGGCACAGTATTTCTGAAAGGCAATTTGGACATAACCAAACTATGTCTACAGGTTAACTCAACAGTGGTCAAATGCAGGGATGTGTATGTACAAGGATATCCATTAGTGTTGTATCCAATGATAAAATACTAATAGTTTTCTAATGTACTTCTGCCCTCTTTGGGTAGCCATCTTCGCTCCGAAGGGTGACCATTGCCTCTTTGCCCAGAAATATTGGAAATGCAAGAATGGTAAGCAAGTTCCTAAGTGTTCTTCATCAAAAGCATATTCATTTTCATATAACAAAAACATAAACTTCACTAAATTCGTATTTCATTATTTCTCTAACATCTGAAATTTAAAGGTGGCTGGGATGGAAAATGACCGATTCGGTAGGCGATCAAGCAGCTGGTAAGTGTCATTTTCTGGTTGCTCTTTGGGAACCCTACTGTTTTATAATTGACTGAAGTAAAATGCTGGCAATAAGTAATAAAGTGACACTTGATTTGCACAGAGTATATATGCACAATAATTATAAAATAGGTGTATAATCATGGAATTTTACTATGAAATATGTGAATGTGCCAACCAAAAATAGAACATAATTTTTGTAATAATTCAGGTAGTCGGAAATAAATTGACAATGGCTACAGATGTATATGACAAGTGGCTCTAATCATCTTTACTTAGGCGTATTTTGGGGTCAAAGCAGAGTGAACATCGTCCCTCATTACATCGATTTATTAGCACCTACTCCTGGGCGGATGCTGAAGAAGAAAAATGTGAACTCAAGTAGGTAAAACTCGGTGTGTGTGTGTGTGTGTGTGTGTGTGTGTGTGCATCCATTCTGATGGCTGAGTAATTTCCTATTGTATAAATGGACCACATTTTCTTTATCCAGTCATCTGCTGAAGGATATCTTAGCTCCTTCCACAGTTTGGCTATTGTGGACATTGCTGCTATGAACATTGGGGTGCACGTGCCCCTTCTTTTCACTATGTGTGTATCTTTGGGGTAAATACCTAGTAGTGTAATTGCTAGGTTGTAGGGTAGCTCTATTAACACCTTAAGGAACCTCCACACTGTTTTTCAGAGTGGCTGTTCCAGCTTGCATTCCCACCAACAGTGGGAGAGTTCTCTTTTCTCCACATCCTTGCCAACATTTGTTGGTTCCTGTTTTGTTTTTTCCATTCTAACTGGTATAAGGTGGTATCTCATTGTGGTTTTGACTTGTATTTCCCACTGGCTAGTGATGTGGAACATTTTTTCATGTGTCTGTTAGCTATTTGTATATCTTTTTTGGAGAAGTGTCTGTTCATGGTATAAAGATGAGTAAGATGTAGTGCCTATCCTCAGGTTTTATGTTTCTTTTTAAAATAATCCTAAGAAGGATGCCTGGGTGGCTCAGTCAGTTAGGCATCTGCCTTCGGCTCGGGTCATGATCCTGGGGTCCTGGGATAGAGCCCCGTATTGGGCTCCCTGCTCAGCAGGGAGTCTAGTTCTCCCTCTGTCAGCCGGGTCCCCTGATTGTGCTCACTCTTGCTCTGGCAAATGAATAAATAAAATCTTAAAAAATAAATAAATGAAATGAAATAATCCTGGGAGCCTACTACATGTGTTGAAACCCCTTTTCAGATTTAGAGTTAACATAATGGATTTTTCTGATCTGGGTTAAAGATCGGTTTTCTTCAAAAGATTACAGTCTATTTTTTGCTCTTGGTTAATATGGCATGATTTCTACTGAGAAGTCTTAGCAAACAAAAAACTGAAGTCTTGAGAGTCTTACAAGAATTCAGGATTTGGGGTTTTTAAAGATTTTATGTATTTATTTTTAAGAGAGCAGGCAAGCAGGAGGAGGAGCAGAGGGAGAGGAAAAAGCCGACTCCCACTGAGCATGGAGCCCAATGTGGGGCTCAATCCCACGACCCCAAGATCATGTCCTGAACCAAAATCAAGAGTAGACATTAAAACCAACTGTGTCACGCAGGCACCCTGGGCCAGGTTTCCTTTAAAAACTAAAACCAGCCACATACATTCCCTGTAGATGTCCAAGAAGAGAAAAAAAAAAAAAGAATGACTTTCAGAAACATTTGCCTTTGGTAATAGTGAGAGCATTATGAGCTTGGAATTTCAAAATTCAAGTCCAACTAGGAATTCATCAGTAAACATGATAATGAAACAAGTTCTGTTCAGGTTAAAGGAACAACTCTTTAGATAATATGATTTTATTTAAAATATATTTGATCCAATTTCTATTTCCCAGCTCACTGAATAAACACTTTTAAAATTAAGATTTTAAAGAAGCAATGACACTTTGATGTTACTTCAGTTTAGCATAAAATCCACTGTTAATATATTATGTGGTAGAAGGAGAGAAATTTTACCATATGTTGAGTAAAAAACAGAGGAAGAAATATTCACCTTTGTTTTTTAAAGTATGGTTACTACACATAAGCAGAGTAAGAAATCACAGGTTAATAATATTTTTTTTAATAATACTGGTTAATTATTAGTGGTGATAATTGATGAACTTCTACATGTTCTTTGTAAATGTCTCCTTTTTACTCATCCCCTGGCTAATATCCCAACTTCCTACAACATATTTTTCTAAATATAGCAAGTTTTTAAAATTAAATTCCTAGAAATAAAAATTTAGTGATTTGATTTTAGAATTATATATCAAATCTTTCTAAAGCAAAACAAATACTTGAGAGCCGCTTTAGTGATACAATAAAATTTGCAGTATTTTTATAAATCTGGTATATTATCCATACTTTCAAACATTTAAACTTAATACTTATTTATAGAACTAAAGATGACTCAGAACCACCTGGAGAAGAAATAGCAGAAAGGACAAGAAAGCCAAGTCTTTCTGAAAAGAGAAATAATCCGTCAAAATGGGATGGCTCTTCACTGTAAGTTGTCTGCTTGCTAATGATCCCATTTCTGTGGAATGGGGAACAATGAGGCAGGGTTAACAGTATTAATCTTAGTCAAGGTACTAAAAGACCTGTCAAATGTTAAATTTAAGAGAAAAAACCAAACTTCACATGGTCTACAGGAGTTATCCCTGAACTGACCACAGGTCACAGTGTTAGGAACTTGGTTCTGGAGCCAGATGGCCTAAGGCAAGTTCATCTACTTTTAAGCACCAATTTCTTCACCTAAAAGATAGGGCTGACAGTAGCAGAACATGCAAAATGCTAAGACATAGGTGATGTTATAATAAGCTTTTCTTTGTGTCTCATTTCTTAAACTAAAAATGGTTTACACCTGAATATAACAGAAGTCCCAGGTATGGTGAGAAATAAGTGGCATGTGTATATACACACATATCATACTCCACAAAAATGTTAGTTGCCTTACCTGATTGAAATAATGAGATACTCAACTGTTCTTGTTAGGAGTTAACTAATGCCCGAGTCACCTAATTTTCAGATCATCACCATGGCATTTCTTAACTTTAAATCATTTCTCTAATTCTAAAACTTATTGGGGCGGGAGTGGGGCAAATTGTGGGCCAAACCAAGACAGCAGGTCACATTCCTAGCTTATTGTAAGGCGGTGTTTGTGGTAGGTAGGGCAGAGGGACGACTTGACTGGTACTGTTGGCAAAAGGAGCCAACAGTACAAATAGCAAAACAAAATGCTGCTGTTGCCAAATTCTGAATTTGTATTTTCCTTAAAGTTATGACACAGTAGCTGCCTGGGCGACAAACCTCAAGACTTCCTTCAGAAAGGCGAATAAGGCGCTCTGGATTTCTGCTGTATTCATTGTGCTGTTTGCAGCTTTGATGAGCTTCCTCACAGGACGATTATTCCAGAAGTCTGTGGATGCTGCTCCCATACCAGATGGGGACTCCTGGATGTCTCTAGAGCAAATCTTGTGGCCATTCACCAGACTCCAACACAATGGACCACCACCAGTGTGACTTAGCACATCTTAATGTATGTGTCTTGATTTTTAAAGTTTTAGTATCTGAACTCTGTAAATTAGTGATTTTTAGCTGGGAAATTATAGCGTTGAACCACAGGGTCTCAGAAGGACTGCAAGATATTTTACATCCCTTCTTTCTGTGAGTTCCTCTCTGATTAAAATACAATGGGGAAGAAGCCTGCCTATGATTTTTAGTGAGCTTTTTGAGGAGGAGATATTACATATTGCTTGTTAAAATTTATTCAAATAGAGTAAAAAGTGAAAGTTTCAGTGGGCCAAATATTCATAAGAAAAAAACCCCACTTTTTAAAAAATAAAATTTGAGTACAAAATGCTTATTAGATTTTAATAACCTTTTGAAATATAGTCACTCATTACATTGCTTTTGAAGAAATGCCTAATTTTGCTCTGGGTTGCTTGACTCTTCACACTGCATAAAATCTGTCAGCGGGGATTAAGAATAGCTGAGCACTCTGGTCGAGAGTAGCATATAGCACACAGAGTCAATCAGCTGGCAGCTGGAGCTCCTAATTTTTTCCATGGCTTTTTGGGAAGCAAAATCCTTAACCATGTGATATAAAGTAGAATGAAACTCAGTTTCTTCTTTAAGGGCTTCAGAGAATGTCTCACTGTTTTCGTTGATCTTGAGCCTTTGTGCTCTGTCACCACTAAACATTAAAAGGGTCCAATTAGGTTTCTGAATAGGTTTTTCACTAAGGTGTTCCTTCAGCTACAGGAAAAGAAAATTAGAGAAATCCATTAATAGTTCCTCTAATAGGTATTTTGGCAGAGTATAATTTGAACTCAGTCCCCAAAATTGCTAATGTAAAAGAAACACTCTTTAGCATCTGAGCTCTTAAACCATGTTTGTATGAATGTATTCATTCAACAGAGATTTCTTGAGTAGCTAGTATTTGCCAGGGAATGTTCTAGGTGCTGGGGATACAACAACAAAGAAGAAAAAACCATATTAATAACAATTGCAACAATAAAATCCTATCCTCAAGGAGCTTATATTCGAGTGGGAGAAACACACAATATACAAGTAAATATGGTGGCTCACTTACACTATCTTTTTTATCAGGCAGCAGTAAATGTGCCAGAAAGTTCAATTGGAGGCCTGTCTCTGAGGGGGAAAAAAGCTTCCGTCTGTTCTCATTTTGATGTAAAGAGCTGTCAGGACACTACCCTGAAGTCCAGAGTGTTTGATACCATAATGGACAGTGAAGGTATAGCCTTTATATAGCTTGGTTTTATATTTTTGACAAAATAAACAAAAATGAAGTTTTAAAACTATTTGAATGTTAATTTTTTTTTTTTTTTTAACCTTTTCAAGAGGAGAAACCATGGCCTACATTCATTTAGCTTTTGAGTATCTTCTTTGGAAGGACAAAGTAATTTTACGGGGTTTGTATACTATACCTTAACTATAACTTTATTTGAACTACATACTATATTCCACTTGCTCCAACCAAATGCAAAAGCGGAACTTAGCAGGGCCAGCTGTCGATAAGCTTTCATTTCTATCAAAGGATCCTGTCAATATAAAAACAGTTGATCATAAAACCTTTCAAAAAGTCTTCCATCTTTGGCCTCCTACAGTCACTTCTTAACACGGAAAAATCCACTTAAAATGTAAGTCAGATGACATGATGACCCTGACAGGACAGGGCAATGGAGCTGCCTTTCAGAAGAGAAGCCAGAGTCCTAACAATGACCTACCAAGGGCCTCTATGATCAGACATCCCCCTGCCCCACATATGCCCCACATATACCCCATTTTCACCTTCTTTGTTTCTCCTTTTGCTCTCTGAGCTCCACTTGGCTAAATTCCCCACCTTCAAGTTTGGTTCAGATCCTACCTTCTTGGTGAAGGCCCCCTCTTCCAATACTATTTGATATTGTATCTTGCCCTATGATTCTTGATCTTCCCTTTTTTTTATATATATAAAATATAAGAATCTAGTATATTTTTGCCTTCCTCTGCTAGAATGTAAGCTCCACAAGGGCAGGAACTTTGTTTTATTCACTAATGGATCTTAAGCATCTAAAACAATGTTCAGAAAAAAAATTCTTGAATATTCTGAGATGACTAGTACACTACATGCAGCATTTGTAGAGTAACTGGCAGTTGAGTTACTAAAACTCAGGTGGTTTTTTTCCCCTACACATATGTACACAGTTAATGATGTTATTTTCAGATATACCCATATGGTCATTTTCTGGCATGTTTTAACCTGTTTTGTGCAGAAGAGTTCTATAGCCAAGAACACCTTTCATGATTGGAGCCTACTTTGGCCTCATTTATATATCATAAATATTTACTAAACATCTGATTCAAGGAGTATGCTAGATACTAGACTCATAGGTGATGAAAGAACAGTCCTCATCCTCATGGAACACACAGTTTAACATGGAAGGATCTTATTTAACTAAAGCCTTATGAGTAACATGAAGCAGTATGCAGACAGGGAGCCTCTCCCAAGAAACGGAAGGAAGTGGGTTCTCTCTATCAGTGGTCCTTTTATGTGTTTAATTTCACCAAATTTGTTATGTTTGGGAAATTTCTGAGTCATTTAATCTTTTAGGAAATCTTACATATATCCAGCCTGGAAGAAGAAAGAAAATACAGGAAATTTGAAGTTGCTCTAACTACCTTTGCACTAACTGACCAGCTGTGTGAATAATGGTCCATTTGTAAATATGTAGATCATACTAGAGGCTTACTTTCTTGGGAAAGATTATTAAACTTGAGAGAACTCTGGATTTCTGGTCTGCCATTTATTCCTTCCAATCAATTCTGTGTAAGTGAATATAGAAAACCTAAGCCATACCTGAAGAGTTACATAACATTGAACACTGGCTACCATTCTAAATGTCCTTTACATTAAATTTGGAAAGATTTGTTCTTACCTTATAATTTATAACAACATAAAAATGAGAGTGTTCACTAGGGAAGATATTCAATCCAGCTTCTTTCAAAGCACAAATGAAAGAAATCGGAGTCATCCATTTTCCTTCCAAAATAGAGAAATGCTTTTTGTTACTTAGTGTGATTGATGCTAACAGGCAGAGGTTTTCCTAGTTTCAAGAAGAAAGAGAAATTATTACATCATGATTCCATTTCCAGCCTTTAGCTTCTTCATACTAGTTTTTTGTTTTGTTTTAGCTCTATATCATTCTGTATAAAAAAGTATGCAGGACAGATATGCTTTAGGCCAGCTCGGAGAAGTCAGCCATAAAGTCTCCGTTATCTCAACCAGTCCATCGGTCAACTTTTTGGGGGCTTTATCTGAACAGTCAAGAGACTGGAAGATCTCTCAGTTCTCCTCCCATTGTAGGAGTTATGATCTAAGAACACTGGTCACATTGAATTACAGTAGCTATTGATAGCTCGTCATGTTGCAACTTTTAAGGACAGTTTTTTTACACATATAAGATTTAAGGTAATAATGCAAAGTTACCCAGTTTTAAAGTTTGCAGAGTGGCAATTTGAAGGTATACAGAGATCACATCCCTCTTCTGGTTTTAGAAGTCCAATGTGCTATCCACTGTGTGACAGAACCACCCTCCTCTTCTGGTTTTAAAGAGGAAGCCTCTTTAGAGTGGATCAAAAACTGCAACGGGCTTGTAGCTTCACTAAGTGGCCTATTTCTACTAAAGGGTGCAAGTTTGCACCCTGCTTATTGTATGTTATTACCTATCCAATCACTATTTCATTTAGAAATTATGGCTCAAAGTATATTTTAAGTACACATGCAACATTTCAATATGTCAATCACCAGTGACTGATTACTTTGACATACTTTAACTGTCATCAAGCGGTTTACCTCTTTCATATGACTTACTCTCTGTGACGTACCTTAATTTGTATTTGAATTGTAGTAAATACTGTAGTCACAGTCAAAAGTACTTTATCCACATCGAGTGGTGTTAGTTCCCATGACTGGAATGGCATGTTAATATGAGCATCCTGAATCAAGGTAACAGGGCCAAGCGTTTCTAGGCTGAATGTTATAAGTCTGTCTTCTGGTTTGTAAGAGACATTACTGATGCCGTCAGTTTGCCAATGTTTACCTTCATAATAAGGAAGAAAGTAACAGTTTCATTTTTTCTATACAAAAAAATGAGATGAATGACCCAAATAACTGCAAAGGTGTATAAACTGATCTTTTACATTCAGCAGAGAATCTCTACAAAAAGCCACTTTTGCTGGAAGGTTCATCCTGGCTACAGGATCAAATCCGAACTCCTCAGCATGGTATCTAAGGCCTTCAGAATGAAGACTCGTGTTTCTGGCTTCACCCCTTGCACTTCTGACACCTGGTTTTAGCTATGCTTTCCCCCTCCCCCAACAGCATCATCTACTGAGCCTCTGCACACACAGTCCTTTCTTCCTAGAGTAATCAATCCTTTAGAGAATCTCTCATCTTGTTTAAAAAAAAAAAATAAAAACCAAAAAACTTTAAAATTCACCTGTGTTAAGTATATATTTTAGTAAATTCCCCCAGTTGTGTAACCATTACCACAATCCAATTTAGAACATTATTCTCTCCACAAGCTCCCTCATGTCCATTTTATAGTTAATTACTCCCATTCTCACCTCTAGCCACAGGCAGCCATTAATATACTTCCTGTCTCTAAAGATCTGTCTTTTCTGGACTTTTCATATAAATACAATCATATGTAGGTGGTCTTTTGCATCTCTTACAACTTAATAGTAAAACACAACCCAATCTGAAAATGGGCAGAAGATCTGGATGAACATTTCACTGAAGAAAATCCAGTAAAGGATAATAAACACATACAAAAAGATGTTCCACATGATGTTATTAGGGAAGTACAATATAAACCCCTGAAATACCACTTCATACTTACTAGAAAGGCTAGAATAAAAAAGATCACAAATATTGGCAAGGATGTGAAAGTGGGAAACCTCCTATAATACTGGCAGGCATGTAAAAGTACAGTTACTTTGAAAAACAACTGGAAATTTAAAACTTAAAAAGTTAAATTTAAAATTAAAATTTAAAACTTAAAAAGTTAAATTTACCATTCAACCCAGCAGTTCCATTCCTAGATATATACGCCAGAAAAAGGAGAATGTACGTCTGCACAAACACTTGCATGCCAATGTTCTTAGTCTCTTAAGGCCCGGTTCAACATTCCATACCAAGACAAGCCTTGCTTGATGCTCCAGGTGGACCCCCTGGGCTGCTCCATAACACTTCTACCTATCACAGCACCTTACTGTGTCATATTAGGTGGCTTTTCCTTGTCTGCCTCCCCTACAACTTTGAAAACTCCTAGAGGAAGGAAATGTGTCCCATTTATTCTGTATTTCTTATTGTGTAGCATAATTATGGAATACACGAGTCATTCCCTTCCCTCTAATGCCTTATCCATATCCACATGGCTTTCTCCTCACATGAGGGATCCACTCACTATTTTTAACTCTGAAATTCAATATAATACATACAATTATATTGACAAAGTAAGAGATTCATAATTCCTCATTTTTACAGTAATAAAAATTTTTAAAGGTAAAAAGTATCACCTATAAATTCTCCAATTTTTAGTATTTCCTGGAAAAAAGTTTCCCCATGGGAAGAATTACTGGAGTTGTATACTACTGCTGTAGTCAGAGACAAATTTTACACATTATATTTCCCTGAATCATGTGGGATAACTTGTCTAATTCTTAGTGTGACTAATTTTTAACAGAGTAAATACTTAAAAACATTACCATTAAAGGAAAAATGAAACTTCTAAAGCAACATGAAGGGAAGAAATTACCTAGTTCATTTTGACAGATTTTGTAATTTAATGTATTGATGGAACTATACTGTTATAATTCATAATTTTTATCTAGAATATAAATATCTTTTTTTTAAAAGATTTTATTTATTTGATAGACAGAGATCACAAGTAGGCAGAGGCAGGCAGAGAGAGAAGGGGGGAAGCTGGCTCCCTGCTGAGCAGAGAGCCCGATGCAGGGGCTGGATCCCAGGACCCTGAGATCATGACCTGAGCTGAAGGCAGAGGCTTAACCCACTGAGCCACCCAGGTGCCCCCAAATGAGGTATTTGTTAATGATTAGTAAATCCTTAGCTTAGTAAATCCTTAGATTAGTAAATCCTTATCTCTGCTGGTACTTCTGATTTTGTTATTTATTTCACATTTTGGATAACCAATAATTTCCCATGGTTCAACAATCAAAAGTTATAAAGAGGCAAAAAGTGGCTAGTATTCATCTGTCTCAGGTTTCCTAATGGCCCACTCCCTATCTCCAATAC